GAGTTTAAAAAAAGAAAACGCATTTAAAATACTTTGCATGACTTTTAAAAGCCATAGTTCGATTACACATTTTGCCACTAGATGGCAGTGAGCGCAAGCATTCAAAATCACAGCTTTACCTATTGCAAAAACTGTTTTCTCTCACACGTACATTGTCCCTGCTTCCCAAAACTTACATCTTCAGGGCTGCTTCCTCTGAAACATGGAGCTAATCACTGTGCATTACAAAGCAGACAAGTCATCCATATAGATCCCCATTTGTGAATTCAGCTCATCATACCAGCTTCCTACATCTAGCTTTCCAACTGATGACTAAAGAGTCTTGCAGAATCGCATACATTTATCAGGGCAGTAGCTTTCATGGACTACCACCCACTTCACTAGATGCAAGCTCACTTGCTTTGAAAGAGTTGGTTATAGTCCATGTATGGTAATACTTTAATGAATTTATTAGTCGGTTGCCACAAAGACAACCAAGTATGGTGGCAACAGAAAGACTCAACACAGCTATCCCTTTGGAAACAACTAGTTTCCTGACAAGTTCACACATATTTGACTATATGGAAACTAATTTCCATAAGGGAAACAGAGAAATGGCCCCTATTACACACTATACACACACAGCCCAACAAATAACAATCTTCCTTGCTGTTCTGTTTAGAATGCCATATATGGGATCACAGTTTTTGGCCATCAGTCAAAGTGGAAAAGTTGAAAAGTGATAGAGAGAGAAGACAGAAAATGAAGCGGTACAACTTAAAATCCCTAAGAAGAAGAATTAAGTAACAAAGGGTGTACAAACGAAGGCAACTGAAATATGGAATGGAACCACCAGCTCATGTCAAAGTATGAAAGGACACTGGACAGTAGTCTGCTAACTTTGACTAAATTTCCACTCCCCACCCCAGAAAGGTTGGCATTCTCCAATGACAATGTTAAAAAGAAGAATTCTACACAGAGGCACTTTCACACTCTGTGAAGGGAAGGAAGGGCTAGGATTTGACATGATTGTGACAGGCTGCTTGTTCTGAGGAGTAATAACATAATAATATAGGACTACTCTGGACTAAAATGGTTACGTGCTGTAACTGAGAATGCCAGGGACTGGTCAGTCACTGAGGTCCTTGTTTGCCATCCATCCATCTCGCAATAGTTATCTGGGTTTGAAGTCTCCAACTGGGGTCCTCACTTACAGAAATTATCTACTCACCAGGACTATACATGTGTGAGTCCTACATGTGTGAGTCACCTACTGACAGTTCTCCAATCTGGAAGGGAAGTTGTAGAGATCTAGACGATGTAGAAGGTAGCAGAACTCTATCAATATACTGCTCCAATGATCAGGCAAATGTCATGAGTGGGGAAAATAGTCAAGCTAGACCCAGGGAAGGGCAAATGTTCTACATTAAATACAAACAAAACAATTTTATCATGATTCCTCCCACTCAGATTTTCAGCTGAAAGTTTCACCTGAATGATGAAGATACCAGTAAAAATCTTGGCCGACATTTTTACACAACATAGGAAGCTGCCTTGTACTGAGGCAGACCATGGGTCCATCTACTTCAGTACTATCAACACTGATTGGCCACAGTTCAAGCTGGGTCTTTTCCAGAAAAGCTGAACTTTCGCATGCAAACCCAGGGATCCCACCACTGCGCTATGGCACTTCTTTTAAAGGATACATGTCTTTTCCAGGGCTTTTTCAGCATATCATCTAATATCATTAGCATTTCTGAAACAACAGTCTGAGGATGGCATAAAACACTACCACTAACAGTGCATTTTAGCCAATATAATCAAGAAGGCCTCTAAGGGACCCTTACACAAAATATCTCAGTGACTTTAAAACGAAGCTGCATTTTTCTCCTTGGAGATGAAATACAACTTTGGATATTGGAAAGACCAATGAGAGAGTTTTATCTGTATACATAGAATGGCCTGCTTATTTAACCCTAATTTTAAACTCAGTCAGAATAACTGGAATTGATTAGGAACACTATTTAATGATTGTACATTGTTCTTGCAAATGTTTTCCTTCTTTATCTGAGAATATTGAAGCTTTGGAGGAAAGTCACTCTCTACTCTGGAATCTCAGTGCCCCACTACCACTAGCAGGAGGATGGGTAGAAGTGAGGATTATAAGAAATAACTGGGAACTGTGCTGAACGCAGTTCACTTTATTGTGAAAGTCTTACTATTACAATAGAAAAAGTCATTAATTTTTGTTCTATTATGAAGATTAGTAAAAACTGACAGCATTTTTGAAAAGCTATCAGAGAATAGTCATTTAAAAAAATAACTAGGATAGGTGGCAAGAAAGAATAAAAGTCCATGACATTCCTAGACGGAGTTTGCTAAATGTATGACCCAACTAAAAACAAGATATTGGCTGCCACAAAGTTGCTTGTCAGTAACGTTTTCCTTGGAAAAGGGCAGTGGAAACACTTTAGCTATGATCAGGGCCAGAAGATTCTGGCCTAGGGAGAGAGTCTGGTGGTCCCTTATCAGTGAAAATGAATTTCAGGACTATTGGACTACTGGACACAGAACCAAATTTAAAGACTCATGATGGGGGACAGCCGTCAGAAAGACCATTGAATTCAGTGGCTGCTGTCTCTGACTGTGGAAGAGCCAGACAGAGGAATTTGGCCTTAGGTAGCTTGACGGGTTCCAGAATCACTTGCGCAGCCAAGCTCAAGCATTCCAGCCAACCCCTGACCAAATTTGGAGAAAACAAAACATCTCATGCCCAGCGTGACTCCAGTCAAAGTCTTTCCTTTGCTTTTGACTGTTCAAAGGTTAAAGGCAAACTACTTTCTGAACACAGAATGTTTTATGAATGCTGTTCAGTGTTTAATAAAAACACAGCCACTGGGTGGAAAATAAAAGCCTGTTGAAAGGTTAAAGTGAGGAAAAGATCGGACTAAATTCGTCTTCTGTGTTAAGCAATGACATTTTCATGGTTACCTTTAGAAATGCAGACTTGAGAACCTTCAAAGAAATAAAATGCTGCTGAAGAATGCAAAGTGAAGAGATACATACATGCACACACTGACTGAACAGAGGCCTTGGGCCAGTGAGAATGAAGAGAGAGCTTTCTGAACACAGGAAAGAAGAGGCAAGGAAAACAAATCAAAAGCTGAATTGGGATGTCCTGATGATGATGTTGGTGAAATGAAATGAAAGAAGACTTTACTAAATATCAGGAGAATAAAACTGTGCACGAGTCACAACTGAACAATCACCGATTTGATTTTTCAACAGGCTACCAATGGTCTAATGCTTCCAAGCAGTTGAGTGAGGACATGGAATGAAAGCTAAACATGCACAGGATGACAGAAATGGGTTTATAAGACAAACCATTTTGTGGAACAATTACATCAGGGATAGACAACCTTTTTCTGTCACACTTCCCTTCACAAGTAATTTGTTGAGGACCAGAGGTTGTCAGTAGACAGGACTATCATGGTGGCAGGGAAAAAACATGGGAGCTATGATATAGCCTGAAGTGCCTGATCTTGTCTAATCTTGGAAGATAAGCAGGGTCAGGCCTGGTTAGTATTTGGATGGCAGACTTGATTCCTGGATTCAGCAGGGGGATTGATCCCAATGGCCTTCTAGGTCCCTTCCAGCTGCATGAATCTATGATATATGAGTCAACCCAGTTTCTTTCTCACTTTCTGCCACTGCTTGTCTCTGCTGCAGTCTCTGCTTGCACCCAATGGGCTGTCAGATAGGGGACTGGTTGCTGTTGCAGGAGGTCTGAACTGACAGTATGCTCAGCATTTTTGAAATTAGACCAAAATCTTTAATACATAAACATTTTTGATGCAAGACCGATATCTGGATGGACCCCTTCTCTAAAAGAACAGCAGTATGCCATCAATGCTATCAAAATAATGATGCAAGAAGTATTGATGGCTTACAGCAAACAGAAAGGGAAGCCAACATCAACACCACTAGAAGAACATCTCGAAATGAATAAGGAATGTGGAACATTTTTTTCTCCATGTGAAACATCTAGTTTGTGTGAAATGATTGAGCCAGACCAAGCTGTCTTATAAGTATCCATCCCAAGGCAAGCTTGCTATGGAGAAGGTTCACTGCTTGACAGTAAGCCACTCAACAGCTCACTGGAATGGGTTTTAAGGGGAGTCCTGGACCTGGTTTTAAAAGGAACAGAAAGAGGGAGCAACCTCCCATTAGAGAGGATAAGAAGGCCCTTGGCAGCCATATTCAGTACCAGGGTTGGGTGCTGCCATTGCTCAAATGATTAATGATGCTGATAAAGTTGGTAAGCAAAAATAATACTAATAATAAGAAGAGCTATAATATTCCTTGCACTAAATACTATCCAGTAAATAACCATACAAGCAAATCCCTTCCTTTGCTGTTTGGATGGGATTCCTTTCCCCGTCCCAAACCACGCCAAATTGCATATCACACACACACACACTTTGATGTTGGAGCAGGGTAGAAGCTAGAAAAGCTAGAAAATGAAATCCCTGCAGTCAAACTGCCAAAGGATACAAACAGCCCTGCGGAAAGTAGGGACAGTTCCTGCTCAGCATCCGCATTATCTCCTTGCCAGATATCTGAGTTTTAAGCTCTGGCAGAAAAGCTCAATCTAGAAAACAGTCTGGTGGTGGGAGGATTATTTTAGAACATCTGCTAGAAAGATCTGCAACCATGAAATGGGTCTGAAATGGATGTTGGGAGCAGACTTATCTGAAAAGATCCCAACCCTGCTTTGTCCACGGCTTGGTCTAGAATGGCTTTCAAAAGAAGAAGAAGAAGAAGAAGAAGAAGAAGAAAAATATATAAAAAGAGCGCCATGGACAGTCATTTCCATCCCGCTGCCCAGGATTTGATGTAAACAACGTTCATAGAAATTGGGATTGTTAAGAAAGTTTATCCATATATCTGGATAGCAATAAAAAGCGTTTCCTAGGAAACTGTAAAATCCTGTACCAAGCAGTGTACAGCCAAGCTGAGAGGAATGTTAGATCTGAATGTTAGCATTATCAAGGTAACAACTTTGCAAGATTTCTTTCAAATCCTGTGATAATGTACAAGGAGAATGCATGTGAAAAGTCAGGATTCTGTGTCTTTTTCCCTCTGGAATGTCTCTGGGTATGAAACGCATTGGTCTGGGGTGCTTGGTTTGCGTGAGTCACAGCCAACATGGTAAACATTCCTTCCTTCTCATCCCAGGGTTGCCTCAGTACTTTCCTTCTGATGCCAAGGAAACAACCGTCTCGTGCCTTCCCATCTCTTCAAGGACTGTGGCCAGCATGCTCAGGTTCCCATCAGGGAAATTCTGGGCTTCCCAAAGGTCTAAGATCACACCAGTGGGGCTTGATTTTGTTGCAAAGTAATTGAGGTACCTGCAATTGGACAAAAACGGTTGGTTACAAAGAACTACCATTCATCTAATCGCACCCCGCAGCAGAGATGGTCTGCAACAGGGGTGCTGAATCTCTTTCAGTCCAAGGGCTGAATTCCATTTTGGAGAGACTCCCAGGGTGGGGCACAGCCAAACTTCATTTAAAGCTCTTATTCCAGTGAACTAAGCCCTAAGGAACTTCTGTGCCATGCTTCACAAGAATATGTATCTCGGCTTCTTTCTGGCTAGGCAGGTGTGTAGCTTGCAGGCAATGCACTGACTCACCTGTCCAATTTTAGCTTATGGGCCAGCATCCTCCAGTCATGGCCTCTGGTCTGAGGAGCATCTAGGCTACTGCAAAGCTTCTGCCGGATTGGGAGAGGGATGCTGAATGCACAGGGCCCTACGATGGTAGTGATGGTGTTTGCTGGATCCATGAGTGGATATTCAATGCCAGTCGGTTCCTGCATTTCAGAAAGAGACAGGCAACGTCATTAGCAGAGGAAAGGAACATATGCATAGAGAGGAGATCTCTGAAATAGTCTCCTGGAAAGAGTTAAGCACTGGATCTTATGGAAGAACTTATATCAAAATAATCTGCTCCTATCAAGACCTTTTGGACTTCTTAGTAGGAAAGGAAAGAGGTCTTGCATCCATCCTGCTTGAAGAAACCTGTGGGCAGCTGGTTTGCCACTGTATTTATGGAGTCCTAGACTAGATAGCCCTTTGGTCTGATCCAGCACTGCTTTTCTTATATTCCTAAAAATATTTGAATTAATTAAAATACAATGATTCCACCAAGCCAGACTTTTCTTTTAGCTTGCTATTGTCCACTGTAACTGGCAGCAGTGTGACAAAGTCTTGGACACAATTCTTTTTCTAGGTGTTATAATGTAAGAATTCCCTCTTGCATGATTAGGAAGGTTGGCTAGGGAATACTAGGAGCTGTGGTCCAATACCTCTGGAGGGCACTTGCTTGATGCCTGCTGTGCCAGCAATTACTTCACCATTTCAAGCATTTTAAGTCAATCATTGCCTGCCAAGCTAGCACTCAAAAGTGACACACAGGGCAATAAAGCAGCATAATAGAAGAATAAAAAATAAAATATTACGACTTGAGCCAAATTCCTATAAACAAAGCAGCCACCATTTCAAACAAAATTTCACAATACAGTCACCAAGAGGGAAACACTTTTAAGAGCACAGAACTTTTTCCATTCACAACCAGAATTAAAAGAAGGAGCTAGACAGGTGACAGGTGACCCTCTCAAGGAAGTGTGAGCAAAGTAGGGCTAAAATAAAAGCAGCCCAAACACGGGGGAGGGAGGTTTGGCCCCTTCCCAAAATGGGGCACAGACTTGGCTCCAATCCATTTCCAGCTGACTGAAGGGCATTTGCTGTGGCAACTGCTGTGGCAAATCTACTGCCGTTCCTTTGCCTCCTAACAATCACTATCCCCAATGTCATCAGAGAGAGGCAGACAGTCTGACAAAGAGGGGAACAGTTTTGAGAGGATGGGGGAATGAACAGACAGAACTCTGCACCGCCCCTCTCCCTGACACAAGCTTTTGAGAACTGTATAAGCAGGGAAGCAAAAGCCTCTCTCTTCATAGCCATAGTGGCTCTAACATTAAGCATGTCCTCCCACTGACCTTTCCAAAGCAGTCTGTGGGGTGGGGAGGGGTCGTGGGCAACAAGGCAAGGGCATCTCAGTGGGTCCATTGAGTTATCCAATGGTCACTTAATGGGTGACTCACTCAAGGGGCGATGAACTAGAGGGGCATTTCAGTGTATTCCTACAAAGACAGTACCACTGCTGATAGGTGATATCCCACAACTTCACAAAAGAGCACAGCATTCCCCACAATTTAAAAGGACAGAAAGTGACATATGATATCAGGGACTTCTTAATAGGAGAGGATGTAAAGTTTCCCCATAAAGATTTAGCTTGGGGTCTTGAGAATACAAAACATGTTCTCCACCACTGAATAATAATTCCACATAGGATGCTTACTCTTCTGCAGACTTCCAAATGAGGTAGATTACATCTCCAATCATCCACAGCCAATGCCCATGCCTTTTGGTTTTTACAAGAGCTTTGGTAGAAAAAAGCAATCCTCAGATATGCTAAGGATCAACAGCCAACAGACAGTATCCAATTGTGCCATTCTGCTAAGGCAAACGACGCTGCGTTATCAGACACTAGATTCTGAAATATGTACAAGAGCTACAGCTAAAGTTCCATTTGTACAAGCACAGTTGTGTAGCCAGTTGCACATCACGCTTACCCGACTGACCATGCATTGTGCTTGTGCAAGCACATTGTACAACTACTTGCACAGTGGAAAGATTTAGTACAGCTCAGCTAGTACTACTTAAATTTGAAGAATGACGCTGCGGGATGTTGCCCTAAATATTTCACATACCCACTTGCTACCCATTTCCACTTACGATCAGCAAGATCTGTACAGGTGGGTGTCACCCATGAAAGTCCCCAAATACATTTCAAAGGGAGCTGCTAGAAAAGAAACCTCCTTTCTGCAAGAAGAAATGTCACGACAGAAGAGACATTTCAAATCCATGGCGTAAACAATATTGACAAGCTGAAAAGCAAATAATAACAGACACACTTTGCTGGGCAGCCGGATAACATTGATGTTGCCGTCGCATGCAGTGTGCCTCATCTGTAGAATTCCAAACCAATTTACAAAGCATAATTACCCTGATTTGCAGATGGGAAAATTGAGGTCAAAACACATGTCTGGGATAACAAAACAATGCAGTAGCAGAACTAACGCTCTGACCTCTGCCTTGTTCCCAGCTCCCCGTGAGATCAGCACCATTTCCCCTCTGCATTCAACCACCGTATGAAATTATATGAAACTGTGCCCATCTCTTTGGAAGAAAAGATTCATTGTGGGTCTGCCAGAGACTGAAGAAGCATATTGTTAAGACCTGCATTAAAGGATGCACGCACGGGCACATAAAACCACCCCATAAATATGAATATATAAGAAAACTCTCTGTGACATTTAAAGTAGATGAGAACAATAAAAAACATATCACTTCAGGATCTTACATCTGCCGGAGAAGAAAAGAAATTAATTTGGCCATCCTATGAGCTGCCTGGAAAAGCAAAGCAAATGTCTCTGAACTACTAAAGCATAAGAGATCTGCCTTAAATGTCAGTTTCTTTACATTTCAATGAGCTGTCTTGCTATCCATGATCTAGCTCGTGCTCCACTAATAAAACTATTTTAAAACTTTCCAAGGTCTTGGGGCATAAATAGATCTTAATATAATAGGAAACCACAGCACGCCAAGTTTTTATAAATATGAATATGGGTGGTTTAAGTGCCATCAGAAAAAGGGAACCGTGTAGCTGGCTATTCAGTCTCTCCTTTCTTAACAGATTTTCTGTGGTAAGAAAAAGAGTGGAAAAAGCAATGCAAAACAAGGGAGCATTCCAGGTGGCTAATGATGGGTGCTTCCAGAGGAAACTTTTATCCCACCATCGCCAACGTCATTCACCGAAGTGTGACATTGCAGAGGGGTTCGAGGCTCATCTTCCATTTTTAACTGCCCCATTTTTCCATTGCTCTTTCCATCTTTTCTTTTACTGTAGAAATGCTGTTAAGAAGAAGATTGAATAGATGTGCAATGCCACTTGATTGGGAGTACTAGGAGCCCTTTATCTGGAAGTGCCTGACACTGTCTGGACCCTGTCCTCAGCCCTTGCCCCACAAAATGCCACGAACGATGCAGGGCAATTGCAGGATAAAAGCCTCACCGGGATGCATCCTGTCCAACATGCCATACTCGACTCATTAGTCGTGCTTCCCCTCAAGCCAGGCTCAGATAAGAGTTTACAAAAGCCTGTTTCAGTGGAGAGGTGACCTTTTAAAATCCCTGCATTCTCTTCCCGCTCAGATCCGAGCTAATATTGCACAGGCTGCAAATGCTTTGTACAGCATCAAAGCATTTCTGAGCCAGGTATAATGGGGGTGTCTCTTGTCAAGGTCCTCACAGCCCTCTTCAACCAATAGTTTACTTTATCATTCTGCATACGATGCATTCTCTGGGACATGGGATGGAGGTGGAAAATTCAGAGGACATTCAGATGGTGCAGAAAAAAGTCAACCCACAAAAGAGGGTAGCTTTTTGTCCTCACACTTCCAAGTTTTCTCCTTCAATTCTTGCATATCTCCCATTCCCAAAAGACTGAATAGAGCCATTGGTTTCCTCACCCCTGTGTCTGTGTATGTGAGAGAGAGAGAATGAGAGCGAGAGCGAGCGAGTGAGCGTGAGCGCATAAATGGTAGCTTTTGATCTTGTGGCGTTACCACCCTACAACCATTGATTCAAATGCAAGTGCAAAAGACTTCCCAGATGGGGTTTTCCCCCGAATACAGAACTGGAAAGAACCAGGTAGACACGATGCGCTAGATGCAAGAATACTGTTTAAAGCATCCTTGACTGATAGTTGACTGGTCAAGGCTTGAATATCATCTTCCCTCATGAACTTGATTCCATTGCTTGAGTACTTCGACCATTAAGAAGTTTTCATCTGATGTTCAACTGATATCTGCCTTCCTGTAACTTAAACCTGCCATTTCCATTTTGGATGACAGAGAACAGGTGTGATGACCCTTTAGGTACTTGAAAAGTGCCATCACAGCAGGCTTCTCTTCTCAAGGCTAACCTCTTCTCAAGGCTATCCCTTTCCTTGCCAATCCCGCTTACCTGCTCAGACTGGACTTTTTATTGGCCTAGATGAAGGCGTGGAATGAACAGCCTGCACTTGAGCAGGATGTACCATAACTCACCTGAACCAAACCCAAGTACTTTTTTTTAATGAATAAGAGTTCTGCAAGGATCACCTGCTACCAACAGTTCCTCCCCATCTTCCTTCACACTTCCATATGCCCAAGGAGGCCTGATTCTTTAACAACTGGGAGCCACTAGTAATGCCAAATTTCAGGTTTCCATCTCAAAATTAAGTGCTCATTCAATTCCATAAAAGTGAATGGTTGTCATTCATCCCTAAAGGTAAAGGTTTCCCCTTGATGTTAAGTCCAGTCATGTCTGACTCTAGGGGGTGGTGCTCATCTCCATTTCCAAGCCGAGGGAGCCAGCGTTTGTCCGCAGACAGTCTCCATGGTCATGTGGCTGGCATGACTAAACACCAAAGTGCATGGAATGCTGTTTACCTTCCCACCAAAGTGGTACCTTTTTATCTATTTGCATTTGCATGCTTTTGAACTGCAAGGTTGGCAGGAGCTGGGACAGAGCAACAGGAACTCACCCCATTGTGCAGATTTGAACCAGTGACCTTTCAATCAACCAGCACAGCAGCACAGCAGTTTAAACCACTGCGCCACCTGCATCCCTGCATCATTCATCCCTAGACAGATTAAAAAAAGTACTGCCCCCAGAGACTGGAGCTGCGAAAGGAAAATATGGATTTCATGGCCATGCCTTCAATACCTCCCATCTTGCCCATTCAGTGCTACTGGACAGGTGATTATGAAATGATGGACAGTATTTTGGTGCCAGGTAAGGAAGCCAGGAATTCTTTTCTGGCTAAGATTGTAAACAAAGCAGGAAAAAGAATCTGGAGACTTGCAGAGCTCACGTCTCCTTCAATTCTGACTGTTCCAAAGACCCAAAGTCCATTTTTGAGGCTGGCTCAGGAGAACTTTGCTGCTGTCTGTACTTTCAGTGGAACAGTTTATAAGTCCAAATAGTCTGTGAGATGGAGTGTATAATAGACATCACTACTGGGAAGGCAAAGTGGAAAACTTTGCAGAAATAAAAAGGGACACGTTTTACACACCTCTGGTGAAAAATCAACAGCAAAGGCACTGCAGCAATGTTATTCTCTCTCCACATTCCTCTTTACTGGGTAGGATCAGTGCACAGAAAAGAAAATGTCTTTTATTCCTCCTTTCCCTGCTCCCAGGTTATCACAAAGCAGATGAAGTTTGTTATATCCTATTCACTAAAGATAATGCTTCTGTTCCTTACCTAGGGTAAATTAGAGATCACTTCATCCCCCTACTTATTGCAATAATTGTTTATGATACTTGTTTTACCATCTGTCTTTATTGTTATGGTGTCCCCTGCTGATTGTATAACTTTATACCCAATAATCAAGCAGCTGTTATCAGTACCTGTGCACAATGCTGAATTAAGTAACTTTCAGCTGTCATCTCTTGGCCCTTCCAAAGTGACCCAGAAAATCCCCATTTCTGTGTTTCGAACACCTCAGAGCAGGGCTGTTCTGAGCTGATAAAATACTGAATGATCCCACAGACAAAGTAATATTGATGCTTCCTATATTTAACTTGGTAGGCAGGTGGCAGGGCTCAATGTTTGGATGCAACGGACAAGGACAGTCTCAATAATTTACCAAAGAAAGTTATACTGACTACATTTTATCAACATATTCAGTTTAATCTTAATTTCCAAATATTAATTTGTATTTGTATTAAACTATTATTTGATCATGAGTCATTGCTTTTTAAGACATACATTTTCCCAAAGATGACCTCATTAACACTGTCTGCACTGTTCTTATTCAGAAAAACAGCTGTGTGGGAACAAGTGATCTGCACATATCAATCCAAACCTGGCTTGCCTGTCCTGGTAATCAATTTGTGGGGGGGAAGCACAATGCGGGGAACCTACAACATCCTACATGCTTCAGGACTACAATACCTCAAGTACCGTCTGCCTCCATATGAATCTATCTAGTCCGTGAGGTCAGATTCCATATGCTCCTCTGAGGTAAACTCAGTGGGGCAGGAATGAGTGTTTGCAGGAAATTGCCTGGAGCCAACAGCTTCTTTTAGGTGCCAGGCAAAGACACGTCTAGGGACATTGCTATGTGGGGCTGTTGTGAGCAGAAGATGTTGCGTATCTGCAGATAAACTCTGTGGATACAATACATATTGTATTGTTTTAAGATTAAGTTTATGGTATCGATATTTACTGATATTATTGTGCTGCTTATGATGTGTGTGTGTGTGTGTGTGTGTGTGTATAAAAGCAGCATGTGGATGTGGGATACATATTTGAACTGTGCCTCAGCTTGGGAGGGTGTTGCTGCAGAAGAAAAAGCAAAATTTCCTTCCCTCTTTTGTGTTTTCTGGGGTCGGTGGAGAATTTTGAGGGTACACAGCAAAACTTAACAGAACTTCCTCAACTTCTTGCTGAAGCTGGCTGCCATTATTCTGGAGAATGATGAGGCCCCTGCCCCAGCCCCAGCCCAACAACTTTGACCATGCTGGCTACAGCTGATGGGAGTTGTATTCCACCACATTTCTAGCAGGGTCTTCTGGACAATCCATTTTTCTACCATTCATTAGATACATCTCTTCTAGCTGTAAAGTTTTTTTCTTCTCTGCCTTTTGGTTAGGCTGCCACTGCCTTTAATTTTTATAAGTTTTAAAATTGCATTAGCTGACAAATGCTTTAATAATATGTTTATATATAGATGGAGGGTTCGTTATGTGTTGATTTTTGAGATAGTCTCGTTTCCCCCTCCCAGCCAGCTATTTTCCATAGTCTAACTCATCTGCAGTGTCAGCTGCTACGACCAAAAGCTTATCAGCTTTTCTCCTGGCCACTCTCTTTGGAGGCTCACACTGCGGCAGAATCATGAAACAGATCATTATTCGCCATCATGCAACTCACACAAAGTCTTTCTGCTGCTGCTTCCCACTTTGAGGAATAATTTCTCTTTTTTATTTTATTTTTCTTTGTCTGATCTACCTTTCCCTTTATCTTCTGGCACTTGTATACCACAAACAGGAGGCGTTTATCAGAGGAAGAGCTGGCCCTTCCTCCTGATCCCCCAAATGCTGTTTCGTCAGTTGTCACTAGAGTTGTGTGCTTATTGAACTTCACAGACCTGCTGAGCTTGGAAAGTAAAAACACCATCCAAAGCCAGCAGGGGTGGAGCTGTGTGGCTCAGAGATATGGCTCCCAGAATGAACACTGCTGGCTGGTTGCTATGCTACCGTGACACAGGGATCATTCTTTATTAATGTCAGTGGGGCCTTTGACTGAAGTTGTGTGCAAGTCAAAAGGGTGGTGAAACTCTGGGAGGGAATGGTGACCGGGCCCTCAGCAGGATGCAGGAAAGAGAGGGGAGGCGATGGATGGGAAGGCCTGCCCTTAATTATGGGAGATGGAAACGAAGGCAAAATGTTTCATCTTGATTGCATCGTCCTTTTTTGGGGGGTGGGGGGTATTTTGTTTTAGTTTTGTTTGGTGCATTATGTGGGAGGGCGAGGAGCATTGGAAACACTGTGAAAATAGAGCTGAGAGTGGCAACACTTCCCCCACTGTTGTCTTAGTGATGAAGGCAGGGGGCCAGTTCCATCCCTCTCTAGTCAAATCAGCCTAAAACAGATTTTTTAAAACAATTCTGAGCCATGCCCATTAGTTAACTCAAGAGTACATGGTGCAAGAAGGTAGGGCTCCATTGTCTCTTGAAACAAGTTTCTCACTCATTGGACAAGATGAGAAGCACACACAACTGTTTTTCTTCTTATATAAGACAACTTAGCCCAGGTCCAGTTTTGAAATGTTGCATTGGATTGGAGTTGGACTAAGTTATTTATTTATTTAGATTTTTAAAATCTCACTCCATTAGTCATAAAGCTTCCTAAGTTAGTTGCATGTAGTCCCCATTGAAAACAATAGAATGCAACTCATGACTAATCTGCCCAGTTGATTTCAATGAGATCAAAGTGTATCTCCTTTAGTTTAGACCCACCTCATTCTAATCATCTACTTGTACACCTAATTATATTACTTAGAAATAAGATGAATTTTCATTTAATATGAATCTTATTTCAGATAAAATCTACAAGGGATGGTGGTGGGCAAACCGGTGGGTTTATTTAGACAAGCTGGTATATTTCACTTTTCAGTTAAAAATCTCTGACTGGCTCACAAAGAAAAATAAAAAGAGCACATAAAAGATTTAAAAGATCTGGGAGACACCAAAGGACTTTGCCTGGCACTGAAAGGTCAAAAGATGCAAAATCATGAGCTGTTCAGGGACTGCGTCCCTGAAGTTTATGACTATCCCGGAGAAGGCCCTACCTTCCTTTAGAAGGTGGGGTGTTCCAAGAGGGACCTCTGATGATGACTGCAGCACTAGAATGAGTTTCTGCAGGAATTCTTAGTTGCACATAAAACAGGGCCTTAAAGCATTATGCCGCAGTGAGACTGCTTAAGAACTGAGCTGTTTTGCAGATGTGCCCCCAGTCAACACGGGCAGCTTCACATGCAGCACACTGCAGGGATCTAATCTGGAGGCTACCAGACCATGTCTAGGAGGCGTTGCAGCTGCTGAACCAGCTGCAGCCGGCAGACCAGCCACCATGCCAAAGGTGCCAGTTGGGCAAAGGCGGGATCGTGTCTAGCAGCCTCACTGAGCCATGAGCTGATCCTTTATGGGCAGAATTATACTACGCAAAATCATTGGACAACCCCTCCCAGATTAGGTGAAGCAGATCTTATTTGTCTTCTTGAAATGTCAGAATGTTCTATGATCCCTGTGCACAAGCATTTTCTACTCAGAGTTGCAACATTAGTTTGGATATAGTAATATGCTCTGTCTCTGGGTTGTAATGCATGAACAGAACACTGTCATGAACTAGGAAGCCGCAACAGAATTGAAAGGAAGGAAGGAAGGAAGGAAGGAAGGAAGGAAGGAAGGAAGGAAGGAGTTTTCAGGATTTCTAGGAAAAGGATCTAAAAAAAGACTATTTTCTGGCATGTTATAATATGCTCCATGCCTTATTTCAGGTGCTGGAGAACAGTTAATAGCTATCATATTCATAAAGTAAGTATTGTGCATGTGAATCTGTCCAGTAATCATGGTAGGAGAGACAGCATAATTTTCTCCCTCATCTCCAGTGCAACCAGATCTGTGTTTCCTCACCTCTGATACTGAACAGTTGAGCTGAAATATTTGCCCTTCTCCTTCAACCTGCCGTATGCAGAGTTTGCACACCAGTTCCAGTGTGCTCAGGCTGAATCTTTCCAGGGTGAAGGTACAATGTAGATTTCTTTGACACCCACTCCAGATATGGTAAAAAGGAATTTCCTGTAAAAAAGTAGGAGTGATGATAAAATATAGTTCTCTGAATCCTGAAGGCGGCAGTGACGGCGGCAGCAGCAGGAGGAGAGGAGAAACCAAATATGAGATGGCTTGATTTCATAAAGGAAGCCACAGCCTTGTGTTTACAAGAACTGAGCAGGGTGTCAAGATGGGGATATTTTGCAGGGCATTATTGAAGGGATCTCCATAAGCTGCAGATGGTTCAGCAGGACATTATAATAAACAGCACACTCTGAGTCCTATTTTTTTTCATAAAAGTCAGATATAATACCCAAGAGGCTGGGTGAGCACTGCTGTTAACTAAGATACTGTTTACTGGAAGTAGGTGCAAGACAAGCAAAAGGAAATTTTTGCAGAATTAACTTAAGGAAGTTCTTACCACAAGACAAGGTGATGGACACTAGCTTAGATTAACTGATTAGGAACTGTGTATGCCTAATATTCTTTGAATTGCTCCCAGCGTACATTTTAGTACATTGGTAAAATATTTTTTATCATTCTTGTTACAAAATGACGCTCTTCCACATTCTTGACAAGGATCAATATGAAACAAGTCAGGACACAAACAAATGAAATGAGCATATCAAAAACAAAAGAAAAAGTAAAAGCATTGGGAACTTATGCATGCTCATTCTCAAATTGTCAAAAATCAGCTTTAAAATATAATTGGTCAAGTATATGTGATGCTGAACAGGTACACATGAACTTGTCATATGCAGAGCCAAACCATCAGTCCATCCAGACCAGGATTGTTGACACTGGGATGCATGACATGACACATCATCACGAGTCAATTTACTCATAAGGAGCTGCACTATGTGCTTGCTGTCATTATGAATATGCAGGTGCTGGTAAGGGGTTGCCATGGCTTGTTGTGTCTTCTGAATCTAAGTTCTGCAGGTTACCTGAGGGTTAAACAACACCTCCAAACCATAACAGACCATGGGTTATGTGAGGGTGGCAGAACCCTCAAGGAACACCTGCTGCCTGTTTTGGGATGACATGACAAGCCATTCATAACAGCAGACAGCATGTGCACCTGAAATGCAAAACCATTCTGGACTATCATGTCATAGGAACCAGGTTTGCAGCAGCTGTCCAGGTTTCAGGGCAGGGTTTTTCCAGCCCTAACTGGAGGGGTTGGGATCAAACTGGAGCATTCCCACATACAAAGCATGTGCCTAAACATTTCTCCTGCATCATTCCATAATGCATTGAGAGGTCTTTCAAGCAATAGCCAATTCTTACCTGGTATTTAGCCAGCAGTTTGCTCTTCCAGAGGGAATGAGTGATATCATGAATAGATAAGCGAAGATTATGAGTGCTACCCTTAAAATGCAAAGCCTTTGGTTCTTCCAGGAGTTGTCCACCCATTTGCCTCTCCAGCTGTAATACCTCCTGTGTGTTGGGGGAAGAAAGACAAAATACATAAACCAAACTGGGCTTAAAACCAACTGCTTTAATCTGCAACCCAGCTAAGGCCAAAATCTTCCAATTAATGTTTGGTTCTTGCTTCTGGAACTAAAAGTTTACCACCACCTCGAATCTTGCCATTCTTCCATGAAACTCAGGATGGCATGAATGAGTTTTCCTGTTTACCTTGGAACAACCCAAACGCCTCGACTTAGAAGCAATTCAGCAAGCTTCATAGGTGAAAGGGGATGTGAATGCTGGTATCAATAGTCTATACCCACTGGTTCAAGTGCCAGTACATTACAGTAGCACTAAAAATGAAACTATTAATTCACTCTGAACTGAGCCATAAATTGAGCTGCCTGCTATTAAATAAATCCCTGAAAAGCAGCTATTAAGCAATAGAAAGGAATAACTACCACTAGACAGGCATTACACAAAGGACATCTGTTGTACAGCCATATTCCAGATCAAGGACATAACCAGAATCCATTTCAACACTCAAAGGGCTGTACATAAGCAGGTTTCCATTGGGCAAGCAATATTACATGGTAGGTAGATTTGCCATTATGTGGTTTGCTTAATTGCTTGAGAGAGTCAAGGTCAAAGCCCAAGCAAGCTCATACATTGACAATATGCCATTTTGGATACTGTTTAGCCTGAGGGATCCTGAGGAAAACCTTATTCCTTGCCTGCAAGAGACTTCAATTGACAAAATGGTCACACTTGGACTCTTGGGCTACCAATATTTGATGCCTTCACTTTAAATGGATTGATAAGTCAGTTTATGCAACAGAAACATGGATGTTTTCCTTGCAGTAGGAATAGTTTTTAGAAAATTGTTTTGACTGTAATCATCCACTAAAAGTGAAAATGCATTTTGAATACAGAAGCTGAATTTAGACTGGAATGAAAATCTGATCACTTTAAGGAATGCCTAGTGCAGATAGGGTCTTTGCTCTAAAATATGTTTTTATGCAAGATGAATAATCAAATCAATTCAACATATTATTTGTATGTATGTATGTATGTATGTATGTATATATAGAATAGCCTTATAAGGCTCTTACCACATAACTCATGACAAGCAACAAACAATGGTATGAAAACAAGCTATTTTATCTTTTAAGTGCTGTGTCTTGTTCTTATGATTGATTTCTTTTTGGTTTTCTTTTCTTTTTGGAAGCCGTCCAGAGACTTTTAGTATTGGGACCCCATATAAAAATAAATAAAAAAATTCTTGTCTTACTGTTTGTTATTACTTATTGTAAGCTGCCCAGAGAGCCTTGCCAGTTATGGCTGCAGTATATAAATATTACAAAACAATCAAACAAACATCATTCTAATTTGTTTCTAGCCCAAATGTTCCCCATTTCCCTGCTCAATGTGAATGGGCTTGCAAGGCTGATTTGAGAAATCAAAACTTTATAAAGAATGCACACTTCATTTTTGGGGGAAGATGCACATTTTCACAGTTTAGTAATAGGCAAAACATGCAACAAAAAGTGCACTTTTCTCATTTGAACAGCAACAGAAAAGCTCATGATCAAACCTATAGATTACATGTGCCTCTTTTTCACCTGTTTAGTTTATTGGATATTGTGAATATATTTTCCCCCCACCAAAAAGTATTTTAATATAGTCTTGCAGAAAATAGTGATATTCTGCTTACTATGTTAATTTTTATGTTTGATACCTCATTAGTTAATCCAGGCAGATGTGTGGATTTCTTTTTTCTCTCTCTCTCTCTCTTTTTATGCCAAGGGTGATCATGAATGGCTTAAGATATTATTCAAACCTGGCCTTGATGCATACAAACCACTGTTTTGTGTTTCTCATTACAGGTGTACGCAAACACACAAAGGCAGGGATTTGGCATCAGCTTGTTGGTTTTGTTTCAGAGGTGGCTTGGAAGAACATTCTACCAGTCACATGCAGTGCCTATTTAACGTAAGAGAAGAAACCAATGTGTCCCACTAACTTGACGCCTGACACGTCCTAAAGCCAAAGTAGTGTTTGCTTTTTCACTATTAGAGAAATAAGAACATAATTAGAAAGCTTTTAGAATTCAGGTTCTGCCAATCAATCAGTTCCAGCTTTTTCCAAGTACACCTTAATTACTTCATGAAGATGTCTAGAAAGCAAATCGATGGTAATTGCTTGATTACTATCAGTGTTCATTATGCCCAAATTATCTCCCTGAGTTTTCTGAAGAAAAAATCATTACATTTCCTTACATCAGTTCACAATCAAAACTAATCTTAACAACTGTTCTTTAACAGGGTTTGCTATTATTCCTATATTGAAGAGGAGGGTAGAAACAAGGTTAAGAGGTCAAAGTTTGCCTGTTGATACATAACAAGTTAATAGAAGTTGATGGTGGTCTCAGGATTTGCACCAAAATCATCTGTGCTTCAGCCTTTACAATCTCTTCACGAAATGATCCAATCGATATGAAATGTGGAAGCTGGAAGCCAGCTATTTACTGCTTTTCCTATTTCTTGACTGTCGTGGTGCAGTTTAAAGGAGCATGGAAGTGACTTGCACCTCGGCATTCCTCCTGCTCTACTTATGTTGCCCTAAATCCACTGCATTCAGAGGGCTGTGGGCATCCCCATATGATTGTGCCATAGGTCACTTACAGACCGCAATCCAACAAATACCTCGTGCATAAGAAAAGCCATGCGGGGTCAGAGCCAAGGTCCACCTAGTCCAGCACTCTGTACAGATGGTGGCAAACCAACTGCCCACAGAATCACTCAGGCAGGGTGGGGGCAAGATCTCGGCAACTGGCGTATGCAGGCACGGCACGTCTGGCAAAGATGATCGCACATGGCCAGCAAGGCTCTGATAGCCTCCTCCCTCATGCTCCTGCCCAACCCCCTTTTAAAGCCATCCAGATTGGTGGCCATCATCACTTCCCCTTGGCAGTGAATTCCATAGTTCTTTTTATGGAGTTTTGCTTATCTGTCCTACCAATCAACTTCGTTGGGATGATCCCAAGTTCTATTGCCATGGGAAAGGATGAGAAATCTCTCCCACTCCATTCTTTCCACACCATGCATTATTTTAAATGTCTCTATCATGTCTCCCCTTTTGCTAAGCTAAACATTCCCAGCTGGGACTTAACTTCCATTGAAGACAATGAGACTTACACTTGAATTAACATATATTTTCTTTGTTAACCAGTAAGTGAACCACTTATACTGCACCAAAAGAAATGAAAATATTTGCATAAAGTATTCTTAGGCTTAAACATAAGTACAGATAGAACATCAGTAATAATTGAAATAGGAATATAATGCACTGTATCATGTTGGGGAAGGCCATGAGCATGCCTGGTCACCTCAGTCTGCTCTCTGGTTGCTATCAGTGGATGGTCATTAAGAATATGTATGTATGGGCTTCAAAAAGAGGATACTTTCAAATGGACAGCAGACCGCTGAAAAGTAGTTTTGCCTCCACCCCAAAACCTGCCCCTAAAGGAAGGAGACAGTTTCTGAAACATGGGCCAAATTAATATACAGTGGTACCTTTGCTCACAAACTTAATCTGTTCCAGGATTATGTGCAGGAAAGACGGGCGCAATCACGGGTGTGCTCATGCAGGAAAGACGTGTGCGATCTTGGCTATCTCCCCACTACCCCCAGCACAATTGTGGCCATATTCCCATTCGGGGGGCGGGGGGATCACAGTTGCTACACAATGCGGTGTTCGTGACCTAAGTAAAAATTTTTATGACATTTTTGTTCACGACCCGATTTGGTCGTGATCTGAGGTGTTCATGAACTGTACTATAAACTGGGACCCACGTGATCTGACTACTTTTGATGCCTCCCTCTGGCTGGCTCAGAAGAGTAGTCCCTCTGGCTATGTTAGTTCAAATGTGACTATGTTAGTTCAAATGTGACTTCTGTGATGAGACCTAACATCAGAATTCAGCTGTTTGTTCAGGTTCATGAACAGGAACTGGCAGGTTGGACCCCATTTGTACCCACCACAACACAGGTGTGAGAGGGGCAGAACTGAAACCAGAGGCAGAGCTAGCACTGTGCTGAAATCTGATCTCCAATTTCCAGTTCCTGTCCAATGAAAGAGGCTTCCATTGTTGAGCCTCATTCTTGGACTCATTATTTTTGTGATGTTTTTGAATTTGCCTAATCATTATGAGATGATCAAGGATGTTGTTTTCTTTTAATTATACATTATCAAGCCTCTGCAACTGACTGGGCTGCCCCTGTCTCCCAATCTGAAAAGAACCCTGGGGGAGGAATGGTCCTCCTCTAGTCCACATTGAAGTGCAGGGAATCAAGAAGCCTACAGGTCTCTGGGAAGCTCTTTGAACATGAAAAACAGGGGACTCACACGTACTTCTTGGCCACCTGTGAAGTAAGGTAAGCACAAGCAACCCATATCCAACCCATGAGAATTTATCTGAAATGTTCTTCTCTAAGCAATTTATTTTCAAAAGCAATCCATTCATTTATTTTATTATATTTATATCCCACCTTTTTTTCCTTCTGAGGAACTCAAGGCAGCTTATACCTTTTTCCTCCTCTCAATCTTATGCTCACAACAACAAATCAGTGAGGTAGGTTGGGCTGAGAGGCAGTGACTTGCCCGGAAGTCACCCAATGACCTCCATAGTTGAGTGGGGACTAGAAGCCAGCTCTCCTGAGTCCTAGCCCTGCACTCTGAATGCAAATACCCTAAAATGTGGGAGAAACTTTTGGCACAATGCTTGAGCCAATACCAGTGCAGCTATTAGAAATGACTAGTACCCGCACTGGCAGTTACAGAGGAAGCAACATATGGCTAGGCAACTTTTTTAAAATTTTTATTTTCTTAACATATATGAAAATACATAGAAGAAAATGTAGAATGAAAGAAAAACTAATATAAACAGAACAGATATGGCTAGGCAACTTGCTGAGTCCTTCCAGGCTTAGAAGGATTTGCCTCCAAGCCAATATGTATAGGATTGCTACAGTACATCTATATCAGTTTTCCACTAAAAGGGTTTTTAAAAGCAGGTTACAAACAGCAAACATATAACACTATCCCTCACAACTGAAACAATAAAAATAATTAAAATGAAAATTAAGCTAAAACAATGGAAAAAATAAGCAAAGATCCAATCAGCAGCCAACAACATCAATAAATATAACCGATAGAATAAGTAAAGCCATTAGACTGTAAAAAGAATTCAATCTGGCACTAAGACAATGAAAAACTTTACAAACAGCTTGGGCTGGGGAGTAGAATTTCCAAAAGGGTGGTGTTCTTAAAAGGTCCTCTCTCCTATTGTGACCTGGCTGACCTTTAACAGTGGGAGCAATTGTAAAAAGTCTCTGAAGTGGAAGGCTTGGAAGAAGTACTCCGGGCACCAAGCTATTTAGGGCTTTATAGGTCAAAATCAGTGCTTTGAATTATGCCCATAAACAAAGTGGTAATTGATCATCAAACCACTGAAATATGTTCAAACCAACAGCGAGACGTTTATTAACTTGCTTCCATGTCCTAATCAACCTGCTGTGTTTTATATCATCCAAAGTTTCTAGACAATCTTCTAAGGCAACTCCATATACCATACATTATATTAAGGATGGGCCACTGGGAACTTTCCAGATGTTTTCACCTGAAAGTCCCATAATCTCTGACTATTAGCTGTGGTAGGTAAGGGAAATGAGATTCTAGGTCAAAACATCTGAAGGGTCACACGTTGAGCACACCTGCATTGCATTAATCTAACTTGGAGGCCACTGGTGTTTGAATAACTGTAGCCATGGCTTCTTGGTGGTGGAAAGGTTACAGCTGACCCCAGTTTAAACTGGGGAAAATCCTTTGCTGTTCAAGTGTCCAAAGTATGAGTTGGATCTAACAGGATCCCAAAGCTGTTGAATTCCTTGTTGGACTGTCAGTCCAACATGGATTTGACCAACCCATACTTGCAATGACCTTTTCTCTTTAGGCTGGGACTTTCCAACACAACGCTAAACTTTCTGTGCGTGTCACGCAAATTGCCATCTCCTTCAGCATCCTCAAAGGGCAGGTGCTACCAGCAGGAGGGCACTTCCAGACGGAGGGCTTTTGTAGTGTTCAGTGTTCTGATTCAATACACCAGAGAGTCCTGAAAGCCACGCAACAGCTGTGCCAATCCCCTGCTAGCTGCTGATAGGACATATGGCAGACCAGAAATGAAGAAAGAATTCAGTATTGGAGGCACTATTGGAAAGAGTAATTGCACTGCCAATGAGCACTACAATTGGCTTCCCTTTGGATGCCTTTCGCTGCTTCCAACAAATGCTGCACTTCTAAAATCAGCCATCGGCAAGGGGAAGCTGCTTTCTGGACACAAGCATGGGCAGATGTGCACAGCAAGAAGCACACGTGCCATATACAACACACTAGCCATGTTCTGTGGATTTCCAAATGCTAGATAAGTTTACCAGTTTTGCTCCTGCTGATCAAACACCTGGGCTGGCATGCTGCATATAGTCCTTTGGACTACAGGTGATGCAGGCCCAGGGAGAGGAAAGAAAAGTCAGCTTTGGGTTACCTATTCACATGTCAGTAAACCAAACCAAACCAAACCAAACCAAATCAAACCAAACCACATATAAGTGTCTTGGTGCAATAACCTCATGTAGATTGTACATATATGAGCAAATATCTGGATTCCTAATAAACATATCTGTCTTCTGAAGAATCTATGAAATCAAACACTCTAGGAAGAGCCTCATAGATTCCTGCATAAGTCAGCAGGTTACATGCCTCTCTAACTAATTCTCAAGATGTTTGTTTGTGCATACAAATTCTGGGGAATATAAGAAGACAACCACAAACTATGTGGACCAAGACAGGCAGATAAGTAAAGATAATTTATCTTTGGGAGACTCAGACCTTGACACTACTTAGAACTTAATCCCCTTTTAATGAGTTTTGGATGCAAGTAATAATATTCTGATGAATAAAAAGCAGTAATTTTCTAGCAGATGCTGTCAGACATCACCCCAAATAAATGCCAGGCCAAGTTGGATAGCTTTCCAGCTTGCACTCCATTGTTGCAGACAGAATTTAAGATGCTATGGCACAGGCAGCTAAAGCTAACTTGTTCTGTTCTTCCATTGCTGCCTTGGCTTCAGACATTCTGACAGGTTATTGAAATGTTCCAGAAATCTGCAGGACTAGTTCGATGTGAAGTGATGGAGGCATAAGTATCCAAAGATAACAATGCAAGTATCCAGTGCTGTCACCGTGCTGGGGTAAGCCTACGCTATTGCAATGTCTTTAGCTTTTGCTAAGGAAAGGTAAAAGTTGTGCATTGCCATCTGGCAATGCAGCCAAACTTAATGATGGGAATCCAAGTAAGCTTCACTGCTGCATAGAACAATATTTGGAGCAAACTTGTCCTGTATTTTATCATGTGTGTGCATGGATTGCCTTCTTAGATCTATCTTTATGGAGCCACCTATACAGTTATAGAAATGCATTTATTATCACATTATAGCCACACACAGTACATGACGGTTCTTATGGCATGAAGGGTATTCAAAGAGGCATTACATATCACATGTAGAGATGCAGAAAGCAGCAGCCTCACTTCATTTCCATTGCAAATTCTCAGCACAAAATCTTCAGACAAAGTCATCTAACAAAGCAATACAGCAGCAGGAGCTTGATTAACAACCCTGGAGCTTCTTCTATCATTATCAACTGTTTACAAAGAGGCATTTATATGTTTTGCATCTCTGGGGAACTGGCACTTACCATTAAAAATACATGATCCTCCAGTGAAATTCTTTTGCACCTCATGGCCTTTTAGAAATGGAAAAACTAAGGATCCAGATTATGACACAGGTGAAGAAAAGCAAGGAAGCAAGCTTGGAGAAGAATTAGCCTACTGTACAAATGAACTTTATTAGGGAAAAGACAATATGTCTTTTTAGCTTCTCTTCCTCTTTTATTCTTTCCAGACTTGATTTTACTAAAATGTCTTATCAAGAATCTTACCAAACATTAAGTCCACAAAGTGCACCATACTTGCAATTAAAAGGCTAATATGTGATCCTTACAACACCAGTGCTCCAAATAAGGAGATAAATTATAAAGGAATGAGGCTCATTACCTTAAGGGCATCTTGGGTGTCATCCAAACAGTAGACGCGGATGTTGTATTCCAAGGATGAGCAGATCAGCGGCCCAAAGATAGCCAACTTGAGACGCTTTGCTGCTGCTTTGGTGATAGATTGTCCAACCAAGGCATAGGTGCTGAGAGTTTCTGTCAGGACATGGCAGGCTTCTGGATCCAGTTGGATGTAGCATGGGGTGGTGAAATTTTCTTCTCCAACTGCTACAACATCCTAGAATGGGGAAATTTAACAACTGCAAATTCAGACTAATGGTGGGATTCGTTCAGTACTACCCTGCATCTCATGCCTGCCCAGTTAAGATTCACTGGCGGTATTCCAAGAGGTCGGGGTGCAAGGGTACCAAGCTGAGATGAAAGGAATAGCTGTCAGGATCTTCAGATTGGGTGCTTATTTTTAAAAGTCTATGCAAAAATGAAAACCTAGGTCAGATATATTCTATCCTAAGATAGAACTTCAAAAAGGAAAGTCCAAGGATTGCTTTCCACTGAAGTATTCTGTGCCCACAAATTAACAAGCAAGAACATAAATGAAGATCAGCACCATCTCCCAACTCCACTCTTATAAATGCAGGGGCTTCCCTTTCACTTCTCTGAAAGATGTTGATATTTGTTGATGGACTACCATCCTGCTCATGGCTTCACATGCAAACCAGAGCTCCTAGGCTACAGACAAACAGCTATTTCTATAAGGCTGCTTCTAGATGTATCACATAAGGGAGAAATGAAGCATCTGGAAATGAGAGATGTAGAGTTCACCTATAGAATGAATCCCTGTGTCCTTTAAATAGGCAGCAAAGTAAATACGAATCCACTGTTATGAGTCATCCTGAATCTTATTCGATACACACAGTAGCAAACTGTTATTATTTTTCCAGTGCAACCCTTCAAGGGTAGAACTGGTTCCTTGTATGTTTGCTAATGCAATAACCAAGGACAGAGCAACATGCAATTCCTTAAACACCATCATTGTGAAATGCAAAGCTCTGACGAATTCATTCACTGCTGCCTCCATCAAAATAAGGAAGCTGGCAATGCTGATGACAGAAATTAATTGCTGGATTCAATGAATTGCTGGATTCAATGAATTGCTGGATTCAATTGCTGGACTCAGTTATTGTTACCAGCTTGGGAACAGATTCAAGACTCTTGGTTGAGGTCTGGGTGATGTAGCACATTTGCTAAGGTGACACCATCCTTCCTAAGGGCTAGGAAGAAAGGTGTTATATGCAGTACTGATTCTACTAACCCCTGCTGGCCAAGCCATGAAGCATTTGTGTTGGCACTCATAAAACTGACTTGCCTCCAGCAATGCAAACATCTGTTCAGTGAAGGGAAATAGAGACACAGAAGATCTGTTCCAAAAAGACTGGGAGAATAGAAAAGAACATGCACATACAGAAGGCTAACTGTGCAAGAACAAGGCCTTCAATAAACATTTGCATAGTACATGCATAATGCCAGAAAACCAGTTCAGCAGCTGCATGGTCTAGAGCTTATGAAAATATGAAGCTACTCATACTAAAACAGAGTATTGGTCCACGTGGCTTAGTGATATCTATGCATACTGACCACAGCTCTTTCAATCACGCTTGCAGACAGACCAGAGAGCACATTGCCAGCAAACGTTCAGCTCTAAAGGAGTTAAGCTAGCATGGTGATCGGCAACATATAGCCTTCTCAGTGGTTTGGCCTACAACTCTGATTGAACCTACAAGTAGTTTAGCCAATGGTGAGCACTTATAAGAACTGTAGCCTAAACCATCTTGGGGGTGGGCGGGGCAGGGTATCCACAAGTTCCTTACCCCTGCATCTGTTGATGCAATGGGAACAGCAGTACTTGCTAGCACAATCAGGGAAAGAAGCTGAAATGACAACTTCTGGAATAGGCCATCAGTGGAGCTCCATTCTGTGAGCTTCACTGATTTGTCCCATTCTGGAAGTGGTTGTTGTTAGTTTCTGATTGCACTGGTTGGCACCAACTCCTTACTGTGTTAGCAGACACTCCTGCTACTATAATAGCAGTGCTTAATAGTGCCTGGAGGCCTCGTAGCAAAATACTCAGAAGGTACTGTGAATCTATTCTATCTTTCCCTGCTTACCAATTGTTCTACAGAAAGGAAAAAAGATGGAAGAAGCACTGGAAAAACACAGGAGGGATGTGAGTGAAAAGAACTACACCCGGATTCTACATAAAATTCCATGACTGAGACAGGGTCATGCCATGGTAAAAGCTTCTTCTGGAAACGTTCCAGATTTCAAGGCCTAAGATTTATTACCTGTGGACACAAATTGGGATCTTTTTATATTTATTTGATTAAATTCTATAGTGTTGAAAGCAATGCGTTCTGAACATTTTATGATAAAATGGGATTATGAAATAAAACAAAAACTAAATGATGAAGCACGATATGTCGAATCAGAAAAACAAGAAATTAAAGACAAAGACTCTTGTTATGTGCCATCGAGTTGTTGCTCACTTATGGCAACCCTATACATGATGCTCTATCCATGACAACCAGTGGTGGCTTCCTTTATGGAGTCAACCCATCTCATATTTTGTCTTCCTTTTTTTTCTGCCTTCAGCTTTCCCTAGGTTGAAGGGAGTTTTGCCTTCTCATAACATGTCTAAAATATCACAGTCTCAGTTTTGTCAATTTTGCTTCTACAGAAAGTTCTGGATTGATTTGATCTAGGCTCCACTTGATTGTCTTTCTGTTCATCCAGGGTATTTGCAAAGTTCTCCTCTAACACCATATTTTGAATGCATCTAGCTAAATTTTATCCAATCTAAAGTTTTCTGCATATCAAAGAAACCAAGAAATTCTCCCTAGATTAGGGTATTACCACCAAAATGTAATTTGATTGCATATGACTATTTACTGAACTTTAGAAAGCAGGGACACTTGCAAAGGAGTATCCTCTCAATGCCAATGGAATCATATTGCCAGATTTGTATGTTATGAGAAGCCATGGTGAATTTTTACTGTTGTTGGTCTGGTATTTTTTTAGCATGTTACCTGTGGTTTTCTGAGACCATGGAGAGATTCAGGTTTTCTGTAATGGTTCTATGCTTCACTACAGCTTTTCATGACGTCCAAGCCCAGGAGCTCCATTTTACCATTTGTGGTAAGGAAACACCATAGAGTCCCACGGAAAGAGCAGCAATGGTAGGGACTGCTCTAAGCATCTGATCTCTACTGCTTACAGCTCTCTAGAAACACACACGCGCGCGCGCGCGCGCGCGCACACACACACACACACACACCCATCATTCCAAGTCTTCCTATTGGCTGAGCAATATGCCCAGCACACTTTATGCTCTGAAATGGAGAATACAAGTTTATGCATAAGGAGAAAGGAAGGAAACATGGCAAAAATATTTATTGTATTTTTTAAAAAAAGCACACACACACTCTGGGGACTGGAATGGCTAGGAAGCATTACAGAGATTCTATTACCTTGGGAGGGGGAAGATCGAAATCCTGACTCAAAACCTCAGCAGATCAATAAGGAAGAAGCAGCCTAGTTCCCCAGGAAAAAATGAAGCAGAATGAGATTCTGCTTGCAGGGGCTGCTGGATGGAAACTGCATTGCTGTGGGAGCAATGCAACTGCCTGATTGGCGGATTAAGACAAAAATCTGCACACTGTGGAAACAGCACAGCATTGCTTGCCATGATGTGTGAATCCAATCTGTAAGTGTGGATAAGGGGCAGCACTTAAGGTGGTTTTTAAAGAAATGAAATAATAGTAACAAACAATTCAGTTGGGACCAGACACATAAAGGTAACTAGCGTAAAGTGTAAACACTTAGCATACACGAAAAACATGTGTTACATATGATAAACTACAGGTTCTATTTATATATACCACATTTTTTCTAATATATTATCCAGGACTGGACAATGTTACACAAGAGGCAAAAACTAAAGAGCTGAGATATAACCTCTAGAAAGACGCCGTTGTTTGTTTGTTTATATCACTCCTTTCTTTCAAACTGGCTGAGATGGCAATTACAGTCAGTAAGATTTGAAAGAAAGAGGAGAGGAGAGGAGAGGAGAGGAGAGGAGAGGCTAGCAGGTAAGATATCTAACTCTTCCTGTTGAAGAAATTTATCTGGCAAATATTTTCTGCTTGCTGCTGCAATAAGAACTAGTCTACAAATGGGAATATACTACTTCAGATTTGTAATTAATAGCATAAGCTTGTTCTGTGACCCTGTTGCTTACTGACATTAAGTTGGCATTAATGTAATAGTTCAAGACTGCAAATTGTGCAGTCTAAACCAACCAGACCTGGCAATGATTTCAGAGCTGATGTAAGTAGTGCACTGTTCATTGTTAACATGACCCACAGTACACAACTGCTACAATCTAAACTATTATTTTCAGTACATTTAACAAAGAGTGAAAATTAGATTCTTCAGTGAAATCTCAATAAAGCTCGTGAATCTCTTGTCTTTCACACATCCATTCTGCCCAAGCCAAAGCTAAAAGCAAATATGATGAGATCATACATATACATGAGAACATCTTACAGGTATGGGAGGAAAAGGAGAGTCAGCCATGGACTACATGATATGTAGGTACAGAATTTTCAACAGAACAGTAGATGGTTGACCAAAGACAACATATTACTATTATGTATATAATGAACCAAAGAAGCTTAACCAGCACCATCAAAAATAAACAAGTGTTCTAGTTTGCTTGTTTCTAAAGATCTTCATGTCGTAAAACTGGAAAAAACAGATCTTCACTTGCCAGAATAATCTCTCTATAGCGAATAGTTCTTCCAGCCCCATTCACAGGAAAGCTTGAAAAGTTCACATCTAATCAACTGTCGATATTTCCATACAAGAAGGGAATGAAATATATAACTTATTGTCCTACTCTATGCATATAATAACCCACTGATTGCATGTGAGCAGGAGACAGTGACTACCCTACTTGCAACACTCTCATTTGTCCCACTTTACTCTGTCCACTTTTACTCTGAAACCCATGATTGGCTCCTTTATAGAATGCCAGGCATGGCATCTGAACACAGTCCACTGGATTGGTTAGGGGCGAAACAACCCAGCATTCTGAATTCAGACATCATGTTCAGCATCCAGTGAAGCAGCTCTTTGTGGGCTGCTGAGTGAACCCAGAATATGAGCCTTCACTGCTGTTTTCTCCAGTTCATGCATATCAATGCATTCGATTTTAAATCCACAGGCTATTGTTAACTGTAGGTGCACTGATACACTTTATACAGCTCTTAAATTGGTTTTTTATTTCAATATGCATTTATAGTGTCACATTTTATGTATTATCTTTCAAATATACAAATACGCATTTATCATTTTCATTCTGTCATAGTTGTACTTCTAAACATGCTTTAATACATTTTTTATTCTTGTTTTAATTGATGTGCTCAAAACATGCTTCCAGAGGAGAGCTTGCAAAAGATGAACAAGCAGGTCCTAGATAAAATCAAGCCAAAACTTGCCCTGGAAGCAAAACCCATGAAACAGAGGATTTATACTCCAGGCATATGATATGACCAGAAGGCAGCAGTCATTGGAGAAGGCAATAATGCTAGGGGAAGTTGAAGGCAGAAGAAGAGGCATAAAGGAAGCCACAACCTGGAGTTTACAAGAGCTGAGCAGGACTGGCTGAGGCAAGACATTTTCAAGAGCTTTCATTTGTTCATAGGGTTGCCATAAGGCAGAGAGGACTAGACAGCACGAGGCAACAAATCAAGCTGTCTTGAGCGCCATTTTTCTTAGTAGGAAGTGTCCAAATCAAATGAACAGACACACATCATGCTTGGCGTAATTCATTCTTTGGTTATTTGGTGCAAGTTATGGTTGCACCTTTTCCTAAGAGACTTCAGAGCAATCCTGAGCATAATATTCTATCCATCATATTTCAGATAGTGAGACTACTGACCCAAAGTAGCAGGAACAAATATACTTGTCCTGAGGAGATCATTTCACGGCTACTCTGGCAGCCTAAACACTCACCTCCCATTGTCCCTGGGCTGTCTGGTTCTTCAGCTGGATCTTCCAGTCCTCAGTGTTTGGTTCTGCACAATGATGCATCGTTAGAATGACCGGCCGAGTCAGCAGTGCTCCTGGAGGGCCGCAGCTCACCACAGGTGTCAGAAGGGTTTGACTGTCTTCTACAGGTGGCCTGGCAGGATTATTGGGCCAGGGGTGGGGAGGGGGGAGAGATTAAGAAGTGTGATGAATTGCTTCATTTTTTAATCCATTGTCATTGTGATTCATCACTGAAATGTGGCCTGTACATTATTTGGCATTCTTTAATATTCAAACCAATGCACAACAAAAAGGAACAAAGGGGGGAGGAATACGGTAGTCCACTCAACCTTTCTGGCAAATGCAGAAGTCCAACTACAAGATAGCGCCATTCCAATGGACAAATGCATCAGCCCTTTCACCCCTCCAGCGCCTTGATGTGGCTTTTCCTGCAAGTCTGCTAAGACAGCAACTGTGGCGCAGAGTAAATAAACGGAAGAACAAAGCACAGTGCAAACTGCAGAGCCAAGCTGGTCCTGTCACTTGGGTCTGTTCTGGCACATCGTTAACGCAGGCTGATTGGTGGATGGTGTGACCAGTCTATTTGTAACAAAATATAACAGAATTGGGAAGAAGCCAGATTATAGCTATCCTATCCTAGGCATGTTTTAGCATTTACATTTTGTCATAAATGATGATGATAAGAGCACCGATGCATGGTGCATTTAAGATTTGTGGTGGCTTATGTGGATTCCAGAGATACTTGTCACAGCCAGTCCTCTTTGCCTTCTTCTAAGCAGACCAGGACAAAAGCTTTATAACAAAACATTGCTATTATGTTGAAGCTGAGCAGCTGGTTCTGTGTGACAAAAGAAGTGTGTTGTAGAAAGAAATAACAAAAGAACAAGCAAAGGTAGAATACCAGCCTTTTGGGAAATGAGGCTTCATGATAAGAAGTTTATTCCAAACAGAACTCCTCTCCTCCCTTCCAAAGCGGAAATAGCAAACTATACCTTCAAGATGGATTTAGGTAACTTACACTATTCTGGTGTTGATAAATTGTCTGCCTGCTCCTCCATATTTGCTTCCTTACAGAGTCTGTAAGGAAGACTCTCAGTGCCTGCCTGATTCTTAGCGACTCAGTGAATCTCTGGGACCACTGGTTTTGGCATTTCAGCTGTGGCATTTTAGCATTTTTGCACCCCCACTTCTGAATCAGAATCTGCAGAAATCAGGAGGACTGGGCCCAGTCCCTACATTTGCCCATTCTCCAGGCCTTGCTCAACAGATAAGAATAAAGATCTGTTGCATGCCAGTTTTTGTTATTTGGGTGAGGAAAAAAAATAAAGCCAAGCCAACAGTTATCTCTCTTGCTGTTCGTTGAGCTGCAGCATTGGCATGTTTCAACTGCTCAGATGATTTAAAAAATTGCACACAAACCCTAAGAACAGAGGGAGTGTATACTGTTGGTGGGAAAGGTTTCGCAGATATGGAAGTGAAGTAAGCAGCATTGTAAAAATGTCCGGTACTTAGGACTGAAACCTATTCACCTAATGGATTGGAGAGATGGATCTGTACACTTTGACCCAACTCCCTACATCCCCTGCCATCTGTGGTCAAGGTTGTCATCTTTACCAGCAAAAACTGAAGGGATGTTCTATTCATGCCCACTTTAATGGAAGCACAACTTTCCACATTACTGGGTACTTTGCATTGTTGGTCCCCAGCTGCAGGGGGAACTCAACAGGCATTCAAGCAAATGCAAGAATGTCCCTTCAAATTAGCAACCAAGGGGGTCACCTGCACAGGTCTTCTGTGTTGAATGCAATGTGTAAAAGAGATATGCGAGTGACATCTGTAAATAGTTTCCATTTACAAATCTCAAATAGGAATAACAGGTGCATACATGATTGAAAGAGGGGGCAATGATAGGACAATATTTCAGCGAGTGTAAGAATGGCCCAGAAGTTATATTTTATATACGCACTCACACTCCCCAGAGTATTATGCAATACAAGCCCGTGAACTGATTGTGTTTTTAAACTGTAACTGGGAACAGCAGTGTGATTTTCGTGAACCTTTGGGCATAAATTTACAGCCCAAAGTCTGTGTCTTTGGTTGTGCCTACTTAATGAAAAGATCATCTATAATCTAGCAATTGCAGGAAGGTTATTGCACCCTTAGCACCCTTCGCAACACTTGTCTCCACTATGAGCACTGCAGAAATAGGTGCAGTAGCTGATTTTATCTTAATAGGGGCTGCTGTTGTTGTTCAGTCGCAAGTCGTGCTCGACTCTTCATGACTCCATGGACCATAGCATACCTGGTTCTCCACTGTTTCCCAGAGTTCACCCGAAGTCATGTCCATTGCATCAGTCACACTATCAACAGGGGCCTTACTATTACTATAGTTTTAGAGAGAAAAAAACTCAACAACTTTTTAAAATTATCTTCACCAATACTAGACTAGCTCTTGCTTGCAGTGCAAAAATACTGCAGTTACAACTCGAGAAATATATTAGAACTATTTTATAATTTTCCCTTTTATGTCTCTGGAATTTTTCATGGCTTTTTCCTCCTTTTCAGTGCTGACTTGACTTTGTTTATGCCACACAGTTTCTCCACTGATAACAACTTCCAAATTTTGGAAAATGAAAGTTGTTTCTTCCAAAGAAGACATTTAAAGAAGTCTCTCCCATGAACAGCAGCAATCTCTTTATTTCCTAGATATGCAGAGGAAATGGGTGACCAGAAAAAAATGGCCTCCTCCTTGCTCCTTGGTGTGTGTGTGTGTGTGTGTGTGTGTGTGTGTGTGTGTGTGTGTGTGTGAAAATCCTCTGTAACTAAAGACACCTCTGGAGAGAGATCATGGTAAGGTACTCTTAGCTACAGGTGCTCACCTACAACTCAGAAACTTAGAATGAGTGCTTCTAATTACATAATCATCCAAAAAAGTATCACCATAATACTATAAGCCAAACCAGAATTAAATTAGTTTAATTGTCATGACTTCTCTCAAACCCCCTTGGAACTATAGTGTATATAAGAGTTCAGGGAATTCCATTTACAATTCTATCTAGTCTTCTTACTAAACTGCAATGTTCAGGTTTCCTTAGGGGAAGCCAAGCTAGCTAATCACTTTGAGTATACAATGCAGAGTATAGCACAGAGTTCATTAAAGAAATGATATTCCCTCTGTCATTGTGCCTACTGTTTGGGATGCAGAAATGAAATCTTGCTTTTCAACTGACACACAGCTTTAATAGTTGTATTCAAAGAAAATAAAGCAGAGGAATATAGAGTGAGAGAAGGGAGATGAAATAACTCACAGGAGCAGATGGTAACCCTTCCAGTCATGTTAAGTGAGGATTCTGCAAATTTAAAACTGTTGTCTTCCTACTGCTGCTTTACTTTATTAAAATATTTTATCTGTTATAAATTAGGATCATGACTGTCTTGGGCGTCCTCCATCAAATCTACATCTGTACCACCTTCTTCTGCTGAGAATTGTCCCATGCCAGATTCACCATTTTTATTTTCATCTCCTGTAATTTTGCTAAAGGTGAATACATTTTCCTGAAACTGGAAAACTGCTTTCAGTTTTGTCTATGAATCTATACAGAACTGGAAAGGAATTCTTCACAGGCTTTTGAAGAATGCATTTCTATTTGCAGCCTGTACTTTAACCTTGTAAAGCTAGGTCCATGATCAGATTAATACATTTTCCCAAAGGCATTACTTCAGAAGCAAGTGTTGAGAACATGATTGCATAGGGGTAGGGACTTTGCCAATATCTGTTGTCCCCACAATATCTGCTTGTTAGTTACCTGCAGCAGACTCTCTGTTGTATCTCCACCTGTCCAACTTATTGGAGGGTCACTGAGGAAGGGTAAATGGTGTTTTTTCATGCTTTCCTTGAAGAGAGTGATCTGAAGCTTCTTGAGTCAGATTACCTCAGAGAACAAGTCATTTCAGGAGATCCTAGAGTGGACTGGGAGGGTCCTCAGCCCTCAAGAGAGAGGACTTTTGGTCCTCAAATGGTGGAAAGCCTTCTTCTGAGGCAAAGGGTTAGGGTTTAGGTTCAGGTGGTCCACCACACAAATCCTGCGAGTGCCAGTGAATTAAGCTGCATGACAGGATAGTGGCCAGGCAAAGGAGTGCTTGTTTACAGAAGAAGGCTCTGAGAAGAAAAGGACTACTCATGAGTCAGGCATACCTCATGATGAGGGTATCTGACAGAAGCCTCTCACATGATACAGATGAGCTCTGTGTGAGGTTCTGGCAGCTCAAGCTGTATCAGCTCTCAGTTTTAATTTGAGCAGCCCTGCTAAGAATCTCTTATCATCTTTCCTAATTTTTTATCTGCCCTGCCATGGATTTGTAACTTTGGGCTCAGCCTGGTTCTGTTTATTGGATTCTGTTTCTACAAGATTGCTCTCCTATCTTTTCATCCTTGCTGTTCCTCAGACTTGTCCTTTGGGTAGCAGCTCCTTGCCTGCACTTGGCCACTGCCTTTATCTTGACTCCTCTTGCTACAGATTGTTCCATTTTGGAACTAAAACCTTACACATCCTTTGGCTGCTTAATTTCCCCATTTGGATTTGTCCCTGTATCTGCATAGACCTTTTTATACTAGGGATTTCTTCTAGATACGTATATGTTAATTGTTACTAATATAAGGGAAAATGATTTAAAGGTGATAATCAGATAGATATATGATGCCTTTAAAAACTATAGGCAATGATAGTTACCCATGATCCTCTATGCTGAAGCAAGAAAAGGAAAACAGAAAAATGTCTTTGTCTATTTATGATCTTTTGCTAAAAAAAATCCTGGTCTATTGCCATTAGAATAATCAATAGGATAACAGGAATGAAAATAGCTCTCTGTCCTTTAATAGTCATGCTGTAAATGTAATTAAGAGATAAGGATTATTATGTTGTGCAATAACTGCAGTCAGAGTTTTTCTGCTGATTATGGAAAAGGAAACGATTCCCCAACTTCCGTGGATATGAAATCATGGTGAAGTCAACATTTTGCCCTGTTTGCAATGATCACCGTGGAATAAAACAAGCCATGGTCCCTGATTAAGCCGTGGTCTGTGCTGGGTGACATTTGCCTAATCATCTGCCCAGTTACGAGGGATCTTGTCATCTGAATCTCTGTGGTGTTGCTTGCTGGAGGAGGAGGCAAACCTTGAATAACCCACCAATGGCTGGTGCATTAAGCAAGAACTAAAACAGAAAGGCAAAGATGTAATTATTAAAATGAAAGGTGTTTGTTGTCAAAGCATATACTTTGACTGATGTTGATCCTGAAGTTTATCCTATATGCATTGTGACTGGCATATATTATAGCTGAGAAAGTGCTTACATGTCTGATTATCCATAGGCATTATAATTAAGATCTGTTTATGAAAATTTGCTTGATGGTATTAAAATAAGCATAAGACCCTTCTTGCAGGCAATTTTCAGTACAATAGCTATAATTATACTGGGATAATAGGGAATCTTTAAGGGTGCAATCCTATGGAAGCTTAGATAGAAAAGAAGGCCAAATGTCGACTAGGGCATGCTGGGAGTTGCTGGCCTTTCTTCTGCCTTAATTTGCATAGGATTGCACCTGAAATCTACTCAACTCACAGAACTGTTTTTGCTACTAATGCATCTTTTGGAAACTAGTGAAACAAGATTGTGGGTCTGCCTGGGAGCAGCACTCGCATTTCACAGGTACCATAATATTCTCATGTGGATGGCTAAAAGCAGCACTTTCACTGACCCCCTCAGGCTTTTCAATAGAAATGAAGCAAATGAGAGACCTCACAGTGCTTTTGACACCCACAACTTTCATCCAGCAGAAAATGCACCCTTACTGGGACACAGACTGTCGGATTCAAGGTGTTGGAGAAAGCTAACAGAATGACTCTAGGGAGACGGGAGGGAATGGGCAATGTATTAGAGCATGGAAGTGGGAAAACACAGCGTTGGTAGGGAGGGCTCTGAGGAATAGCACATTCCTGCTTTTAGTTGGAACTGCTAACAGTTGTCCCATCTTATTCCGAAGTGAGGCTCAAGGGACTGCAAGCTTGCAGCGAGTCAGGTGTGAATAATGAGAGTCCCCATTTGCTTCTGCCTCTGACATACATTATGTAATTCTATTCCTGATTACCTTAGGGGGGAAACAGACCTTACTTTAAACCTGTGTCTAGCAGCTATGTTGTTAGTTTATATTTTTACTCCAGAGTAGATGCAGAGTCCTGATGGTATGCTCCCAATTGGGATTGGGCTCCCTGCACCCAGTCTAAAGTGAAAAAGGACATGGATTTAAAGTTATGTCTGCTTTGGACCGCAATGGGACTTACGTCAAGAAGCATGCACAGGATTGCATTGCTGGGTTTAGTTTCCATTTTTCATCGAAACATATCCTTTGTAAAATCCACTTTTCAATTTTGTACTCAAAGTATCACCACTGATGACTCCTAGAGTTGACACAATGGGTTTCTTTTCTGGGAGATGTCCAGCTGTCATCAGCCATCCTCACCTCAGGATTGCAGGGTATTGATCTGCCAGGCGGCCTTTGTTTCTATCAACGTTTGTTTGGCAAATTTTATATAGTATCCAGTGAACCTGGGTTCACTTACAGTGTGACGTTTCTGAGAGTTGGATTCATTAGGTTCAGTACGGCAGCAGAGATAAAATAACTTATTGCAGCAAAAGGAAATCATCTAGCCTGCTGAGCATCATCTGGTGGGACATATTTTCCTCTTATATCACAAGGACCAAAGTATACATGAAAGCAGCAATTCTGAGCAGACTCAATTAAATAGAAAGCAGGACCAAAGCTCAGATGTTAATGAGCAAAAGGAAGCACAGATGAGGACTGCCGAACCTCCTCTCACCCTTAAGCTTTTCTTCCTACCACCCCTTCAAGTAAGGTACTCCAATTTTGGAAAAGAGCACTTGGGACAGATGCTGCGGAGTGGGAAGCCATGGGTAGCATCCAGCAAACTTCTCTGTGCTCCTTCTGCTGCCAGAATAGCTGCTTCTCCTCCTCCTCCTACCGTCTATCTTGGGGCCTATAATATTTACACACAAAGAGTTTCTGCAGCCTGGTCCTTAAGTCTTTGAGCCAAACTGCACATTATATAAAACTGTATGCAATTTTCCCTGGAAAGTTTTTTAAACAAATTAATTAGTAAAAAAGCAGAAAAAAACAGTTAGTAGACTGCAACCCTGAGCAAAGCATCAAATGGGCCACTTCAGTGTCTCTTCAGGCCATTGTTTTCCCATGCCCCTGCTGCTTGACTCACATCGTTTTCTTCCAAAATGGCAGAGACATCCAGAAGCCAACAAATATGGTTACTGTAGTGACCAAGAACTCAACTCTGATGGCCAGGATTGGGATGCAGTCTTTAACTAAAGGAATGTCTTCTCTCAGTGGTGCATTATTTTATTGTGACATTCCTATCCCACATTTTTCCTCTTGCAAGTAAGCCAAGCTGGCTTTCAGAGACCCCTCCTCTCCATTTTTATCCTCACAACAACAACCATGTGAGGTAGGTTAGGCTGACAGTAAAGGACTGGCGCCTTTGAAGCCATCCAGTGAGCTTCATGGTCACATGAGGACTAGAAACCAGATATCCCAAGTCCCAGCCCAACATACACAAAATGCAACGTCACATGGGCTCTTGTGAAATTATGGAGTACTTTCAGACCTTATACTATTGAATAAGGTGCAGAATATAAATCTCTTGGCTGCAGAGATTGAAGGAGAGTCATTTCCCAAAGCCCACACCACCCACCATGAGCACTTCGATATCATTCCTTCATTGCTGTCACTTCCCCTGCCTTCTTCTCCTTAAATGCAAACATCAGTTAAACACTATCAACCAAATCTGAGAGGAGGCAAAGTGCAAAACTGAAAGGTATCTCAACACTGTCTTGGAAGGATCTTGGGTTCGGCTTTCCTCCAGCCCACCACAACTCAACTCCCTTTCTGGATCAGCTTGCAAACTGTGATGAGCCTTCAGCTGCTTTATGCTCTTGTAAATGCCTATCCCTCCATCTGCAGATAAGGATGCTGCATTTAGACATGATGCCTCATCCCAGTGATTACTGCTGAAGCAAATGCGGGGCATGCAAACCCTCTTTTACCTCATGTTCTCCTTTCGGTGAACTGTCACATACATTTCATAGACTCTCCCCTGGGGAATGGCCCCTGCAGGAATCAGCAAACTTACTCCTGCAGAACAACAAGAGACGGAAAGAGAAACAGATAAAATAAAGAGAAAAAGAAAGGCAGGTTGACCTTTCAAGTGAGAAGACTGAGAAGCAGCAGCTCTGCATGCCGAAATTCCACCCAGACTAGAGTGGGGGGGAAGGATGTTTTACAGCCATCCTGACACTTCTACCTGGAAGTTTATGACTTGTTGTTGCCTACAATGCTTCTCTTCCGCATTGTCAAGGCTGTTTTTCCCTTTCCTTTTGTTTTATTTAAGGAACTAGCAGCTGGCTGCTCTGCTGCTCACATTGTAAAAAATGAGGGGGTGGGGAGGGGAAATAACAATTGCATTTACTATTCCAAACAGTGCTAATGGGATCACCTCCCTTGGTAATTCTTATTTAATTAAACTTTTTTTTTTAAAGCCAGCAAAATACTGTCCCATGAAAGAGCAAGAGTCCTTTCTTCCCCTGAGGATATCAGTTTATCTGGTCATCTTCCAACATTTACATGCACTTAGCTTCTTTTGAACTATTACATTTGCTGAGCACAGAGAAGGGAGTATTTGCTTTCCTTTGGATGACCAGAAGCTTGGAATATGCCTTCTATGTCACGTATTACAATTTTAAAGACATAAAAGGATAAAGATAAATTCTCAACATGTAATAATATCGAACCTATTAAGGTTTAAAATTTGCAAAATTAAAAGCACAGTTAAAGCCCTTCACTGGGATCACCTTTCACCTAAAGTCCTGACCCTCCAGAATGCCTTTTCAGGGAGTTCAGAAGCTGCAAGGGAAAGGACAGGACAGGAAACTGTCCTTCTGTTAAATGTCATTAAGTCCCATATCAAAATGTCAATAGGCCAATCTGCCCAAATGTGGATTGCAACCTGGACTCATAGAACAGTTTGGAAGGGTCAAGAAAGCCATCAGGTCCAACCCCCTGCTGGTGCAGGCCACCAATTTACCGCATCCCACTCAGATGACTGTCCAATTTCTTTTCAAATGTTTCTTTTTTGAATGCAAAGGAATCTTACTGACATTTGGAATGTAGGTAAGATCCCTTTGCAAATACTGCAAGCAGATTCTGTGGGTGGGGAAAGTGACAAGATAGCAGCACAACCCTGATCTGCATTTGTTCATGAGAATATCTAAGAGTCTACCCAAAGAAGAGCACAAGAAAGGTCATGCTGGATCAGAACAAGGGTCATCTAGTCCAACCCTCTGTATGCATGGTGGCAAACCAGCTGCCCAAGCTCCTCAGCAACTGGTGCAACCCTGGTCAAGGAGGCAGCACACAGTCCACAAAGCTAGTAGCTATGGACAATCTCCACCTTCATGAACCTGTCTAATCCCATTCTAAAGCCATCCAGATTGGTGGCCATCACTACTTTGCATGACCACAAATTCCATAGTTTAACTATAATTGTGTGGAGGGTCCACTCTATACCAGGTATGTGGGATCCTCCAGATATTCTCGGACTACAGTTCCCATCACCTCTCATCAGCAGTTATTCTTGCTATGGCTGATGGGAGTTGGAGTCCAAACAACATCTAGAGGACTGCAAGTTCCGTATAGTTCTATACAGTTATACTTCCTCCAATTTACTTTCCTTAGGACATCTAAAAAGGAACACTATAATCTTTGCAATATCAGTATTATTATTCTTCTCTACTTGAACCCTCCCAAAATGGCATATGATATTAAAAATACATGATAAAACAATACCAAGAGGTTACATGGAGAAAGAGCGATGCTTTGCACTAAAATCTAGGCCAAGAAAAACAATGCCTGACATTCTAAATATCTGCTTTTCCCCTCCTTCTGCCACCCCCGTGGCTGTCTGAACAAAAATGAAACTTGGAGCAACTGGTTTGTTTTCCAATTAATTTGTCCTTTTTATGTTGAGCGGCCACAATAATGCTTTCTGCCTTGAAGTTCAGCTTCTTCTTTTTTGTGCTACATGAAAGAAAAGGTCAAGGGTTCTGAATCCCACTTCACACAAGGAAGTTGGGAGGTCTAATGCTTCTGAAGGCAGTGACTCAGAGTTTGCAATTTTCTGCTAAAGAAGGCCGGGGCTTTGGGGAGAGAATACATAATAGCTTCAGTAAACCCGAATGGGAGAAAAGCCACTCTTTGGTCTAAACATAGAAGATATAGATTTTCAAGAGTGACCTATTTTTTTCTTTGCTGGGGAGAAAAACAGAGGACTTTCCTTTGAGCTACATTTTCAGTAACACCAGTAAGGTAGTGAGTGTTTAACGGAATAGCCATTTGTAGACATTTACCTGAATTAGGTACAATCAGATGACCTCCAAGAGAGTTGAAGGTGCCAAAAGCAGTGCATGATGGGTCTGTTTGCCGTGCAAGACTCTGGTTTTTAATGTTCAATGCTTCATTATCTAGCAAAGATTGAGTGATCTGTGGGGAGAGTTTGGATGAAAAGTCGGACAGATCATCCTGAGGAGTGACTGCACCGGAATTGTTGTACACTTTGATCTTCAAGTTAGGAAGTGGATCAAGAATTGGAGAGTTGGTCATTGGGATTTTATCAGACACATCATGCAAGGCATAGACTGGGCCCCTGTACATGGCTGCGGCAGACGTGAGATCTGGAGGCACTGCTAGCAGGTCTGCGTTCAAAGGAAAAGATATAACGTGAAAGTTATTCTGCATGAACTGTAGTTTTACCATCAGAAACATTGTTTGTGAGAAAGAGAAAATGTAGCTTTTTAATGGAAGGACACGTTCTTTGCATGCGGAAGGCCCCATGCTTAATCCCTGGCATCTTCAGGTTGAGCTAGGAAAGAATCTTGCCTGAGAACTGGGAGAACCACTGCCACTCAAATACTAGTCCAGATGGGCCAATGGTCTGATTTGATGGGTGGGCTGAGATGTCATTTTCCACCACAGTGGCTTAGATAAACCACTCCGGTCTCTGGCAGATGCCAGGAATTTTATGAGCACCCATCCTATAGGCCAATCCTTGCTTGTAGGTTGTCACATTATCCAAACACATTGTGGATGAGTTTTGGTAGGGTTAAAAAACTACCCAGAACCCATGGACTGTTTACATTTGTGGGGGCTTTGTTAACTATGCAAACAACCCACTCTCACCAGGGATGACATGACAACCTACAGGTGGGGTCTGTATTACCGAATGGGTTCCCATTGACCACCTGGGAAATGCCATAAATCAGTGTGCCTAAAAATTATTGTGCAAACATGGGCAATATATGGTAACTTCCAATACTCCTGGTTGACAACTGAAGGCCAGAAAAACTATCTGGGGTGAAAAGATAACCCCTCTGCTCATCTAATGCTCTCAGTGAGGGGAAATATGGTAGCTTCCAGCTGGGAGCAAATTCATTCTTTCTTTATGTATTGATTTGCATCAGCTGCTGCTTCCACAATTTCTGGCCATCATCCAAGTCCAACAGTATCCCAAGGGCTACAGGTTTCCCGTTTCTGCTATAAGGTAACACACTACTAAATGCAGTATGGAAACATTAAATGAGAAAATTAATGGGTGAGGTGTTCCTTTTCTCTTAACAAAATTATACAGAATTTCTCACTTCTAGACAAGTTCACTATATTGAAAAAAAACCAATAAACTGAATTTTACAAGACCCCAGTGCAGGACCAAAAGGGGCTGGGGAGTTTCTGTAGTGCAGTATTTTACATAGAGTAAGTAAAGGCATTAAAAATCAATGTGACAGGAGTTTCATGGATTAAAGGTTCTGTTCGCAGACCCTGGGTTCAGATATTTGTGAATAGACTTTGTCTTCATGAAGCCTGGCAGCAAGACCCTAGCACTACACTTCAAATTCATGTCAAAATATTCAAATAGTTCTACTCTTTGCTAAGCTGGTTAGATTTTTCTAAATGTTGCTTTATTGCTTTCATTATGCATGATTTTATTTGAATTGTTCTATAACTCCTTAGCTACATTGTGGAAAAAGAGTATATAAATATTATCAATAAAACAGAAAATAAACCAATTACTGATGGATTGAATTAATTCATTTATATACTGCCCAATAGCTGATAATTATATTTCCAAATGAAAGTTATTTTCACTAACTTGGAAACAACTTTAGCCAAACTTGTGCCTCGCATTATGGTTTGACATCCAATTATGCGATATTCCCGCACTGAAGAATGGGATGACTAAAGGGGTGATGGCAGACTTCTTGGGATCCCCTGGCACGATGTGGCCATATGGACCCTGGATTGGCACTACAGGCCTTCCACCTGCTGCTGCTGCTGCCACCCCCAGATCTCCTAATGCTACTGCTGTCTCTGTTGGTGACTCATCTCACCCTATAGACTGACATGCTTTTTCTGGTGGGTGCTTTCTATCAGCACTTCTGAATGGGAGCCAAGCTAGTGTGGTGCTGTGTATAAGCTGCAGGTATTGCATCTGGAGTAATCTAAGGCTGAACATTGACACAGCCACCATTCAGGATTGCTGATTTCCGAGGGGCTGAGCAGGAGAGTCATGGGTCCTTCTGGAAGGATGGGTCCTCAGCAGCTGCTCCATTTTGTCCGAGTCTGAGGCACAAGCAATTTTTAAAAATAGCAATAATGGAGCATTAAGTCAGGATTGGGCTGCAAAAGTGCTGAACAGGAGACAACAATTAACAATTAATCATGACAATTGGCATGCCACTCAAAAGCTCTGCAGAAGAAATTTTCTCCGGCATATTTCTGCAAAATGCTGACTGCAAAACATGGTACTGTGTGATCAAAGGGAACAGAAAAAGAAAACAGAATTGCAGAGAACTATGAAATCATATACTTTTATCATCCCAAGTCAGGGCTGAATTGTTGCCTATGGCATATTCTCAAGTGCCTTCTGTAGAACTGATTTAAATGAATCTCTGGCAAGCAAACTGCAGCTCTACTAATCTTCTGCATTGGACAAAACTCTGGCAGTGTTTATTCCAACTTGATTTAACTTTAATTTCCAAAAGATTATTTTTAAAAAATAAAGCTACAGCCATGAAAAGTGCTTTCTGTTTTACGGTTCTTCTTGGCATCCATGCCTTCATTTTCTGAACCATCGGAGCTACAAATGAGGCTCTGGTTCAGCCTATGGGCATGATCCTAAGGGTCAAGTTATACTATCATTAGAATCAAATGTGATGTGCCCCCTTTGCCTAGGTGGTATGAAGTTGGAGGATAAGAGATTTGTTGCTCCCTGTGGTGGAACCTCTCCCACCACTCTTGCCAACATGCTATAGAAAGTAGCATGCCATGGAATAATGTTTAGCCTAGCCTTCTCCCTGATTATCTATTTCGAGGGGTTTTTAATTATAGGAAAGCGTTCAGACATGCAGGCTTCAGGGCCGTGTAGGCAATCATAGCACACTGCCCCCTATTCCCATGCCTCCCACTTCTATGGGTGATGGGCTGCCTGCTCTTCTTTCATCCCCCTGAGTGTCCACTGTATAAAAGTCTTCTTCTGGTAGACTGACCCCTAGCAAAGAGGAAGAGGAGACTCTGGTGGCATTGTGAATCGAGAGGCTGGAAGCAACATTGCAGCCAGGGGAGAAGGGAGGACAGTGGTGCAGATATGGCAGCAGCAGGGCCTTTGCCGCTGCTCGCTTCAACTCCTTGGTACACCAGAACTCCTGCAGCGTGTAGTAAAATCGAGGAACCAACTTTGCTAGTTGATGCTTCTGATGGAACTAAAGGGCCTGCTGTTAAGTCCCATCAAGCATAAAGGAAACTATTAAACTTATTTTTTTCCAACTGAAACGCAGGCGCTTTAAAGTTAATTAATAATCAAACAAGTCAATTAGAAATCAAGTGGTGAAATTAGATCTGATTTGCTACAGCAGCCTTCCTTTTCAAGGCAGCTTCCACCACGGCAACCCTAATCTCTTTGCTACATATTTTATTGCAAGTTCAAGGAGACAGAGAGATCCTGCATAAGAACACCTGCCATAGTAAAACTACTGTGTATAAACTCTTAACCTAGGAGTGCAGAGTAATATGTGAATTCCTGAGCCTGGGTGTGAGATATTTGATTCAAGACATTTGTTTATGGACCTTCATCCTTATCCCAGAGCAGTTCACAATATGCAGTCTAGTGCATTCTATAGACCTCAGTGCTGGTGCAAAGATCAAGCTCTCCTTCCACTTTGGAAGTGGTATATGACCATTAGGGTATTTCTGCATGGGATAAATGGCTTATCAGCAACGAGAGGAGACTCTGAAGGGGCACTGAAGTCTCTTCAAAGTCTTATTATTACTGGCTCACTGGTTTTCAGGTTATTAACTCTTCCTCAGGAACAATCCCTTCCTTCCTTCCTTCTTGATGACCACAACCATGAAATGTCAGAGTTTGGAGATATATAGTGGAATGTAGTTTTTGGCAACTGTCAAAAGTCAGTTGTCAGGACTAAATCAGTGTCTCCTGAGAAAATCTCAATAGCCTCCAAACACATTGCATCAAGAGCCCATCCTGAGGTCCCCTCTTTTATTCTGCAGTATATTGCAGCATACCGAACCCATATGGCAGCATGCCAGATTAAGTCAAACTAAGTATGAAAGGGGATTGTGCTGAAGATGGATTTTTCCCTTCAGGAAAGCCCTTCAGTTGTTGGTCAAAGCCGGACAACATGGCTATTTGGAAACTGAACTGAGACCATTAAAAAGGCATGTTAGAGTCACTGAATAGAAGCCATAGTAGAGCTGTAAGACCAAACAGAAAAGAGGGAAAAGAAGTTGGATTTTGCCCTCCAAATGATTTCATCTTCAAAGTCTATATAGAACATGAAATCTCACTTGGCTAGGAGGGAAGGGAGCCTACTGGATGTGAAAAAGAGTAAGAAGTATGATTGAAGAGAAGACAGAAATTAGTGAGTGCAAAGACGGATTTTCCATCCCATGTGCTTCATCCTTTTGACTCATTGCTTGTGCATAACTCTCTAAAGTCACTACAAATATTCTAGTACTTATCCCAGGGAAAAACCTGAATACATGTTTATTCTTTACAGAGTGATAAGTCCGATTCAGTGAATAAGATTCATACAACCCTGGAAATGCTTTCCTTATGGCATACACCTGAATTTGGCCAAGACTGAGAAGAAACTAACCTTGCCTCGCAGCTTTGATATTAACAGGCTGAAATCCACCATTTAGAGCAGAAGAGTCTATAATGTCTGACTCAAAGTCCCGGTGGTTCTTCCGGTAGATGAACAATGCAACAATCACTGAAATAGCCAGGCACACAATCACAGCGATCACAATTCCAACGTAGAGTGCTACATCATCTGAATCAGGAGCAGCTGGAAAAAAGGGGAGGGGCAGGTACACAAAAGCATAAAACATTAAAATCTCAGGAACATCCACTAGTACATATCTTTATCATTGTCTTCTATGGGAGCTTGCTATTTGTTGTATTGGTTAATTTAAAATCTATTTCAAAAGTTCTACAACAAGGTCTTATATTTAACTCATTTATTCCATTTCTTAGCTTCTTTTCAAGGCCACATCCTTCCTAAGATGGCTTACAGCTCATTTACTTTATCTCAATATCTTTCTTGTAAATAGGAAGAATACTGTACAATTTTTAATCAGATCAACAGTTAAAATTAGTCAAGAGGTAGTTGCTACAGCAGTTCATGTTGAAATGCTCAACACTAATTCAACAAGGCATCTCCTCATTAAACAGATCCTCTTGCTTACATTTTCTCTTACACTGAACAACCTGAAATTAATAAAACATGGCAACTGATGGGTATCTCTTGAATCTGAAACTGAATGGGTATAGTTCTTTAAAAAAATCCACGAGGGACAAAAGTTTTGTGATAGGAGACTTAAAAGCACATTATTGTGTGTTGACAATCCCCAACATTTCCTTCTAGATAGTCCCTGGGATGGTTTGCAGAGATAAAATTCTCCTGCATATGAACTTCCACAGACTACAATGAATGGGATAGTTCTGCACCTGAACAGAACTCTCTCTTCTAGTGAAATGAAAATGAAACTTTATTTGCTTATGAACTTCATGGGCACTCTCTGCTGTTGCCAAGTTCTTCCTGGCCCTGTGAATGAACACCTTCCAGAATATTCTGTCCTTGACAGCTCTGTTCAGCACTTGTAAACTCAAGGCAGAGGCTTCCTTTACAGAATCATGCCATCTCATATTTGTTCTTTTTATTATTATTATTAGAACATTTCTATGCCGCCCCTTGCCAAAGCCTCGGGGCGGCTTCCTCCTCTTCTTCTGTCTTTGTCCCTAGCATGACTGTCTTCTCCAGTGAATCTTTCCTGCTCAAAGTATGACAGCATCAGTTTCATCATTTGTGCTTCCAGGGAAAGTTCTGGCTTGATTGAGTATATTCAGCAGGTACAATGTTGTTAAACAGCATGGTACCCTTCTTCCAATTCCACTGATGCAAATAGAAAGCTTTTTTCCCACCCTAACTGCAGCACAAGGAGACCAGTCTGAAAGAATGGGAACTCCCCAACCATCTCCCATGCTTCAATTATAAAAATGTTTTAATAAATAAATAAAATAAATAAATAAATTAGGCTGGGAAAAAAGTTTTGGCTGTCAGGAGGAGAGGGCTTGCAGCAGCTGCTTAAGAAAATGCAAAAGGATCAGTACGTTTGCTTGCTGCTGATTTGAACCTGGGCTGGAAAAGGACAACCCAGTCAACCCTGTTGAAAACTACATTTTAATTAATTAATTAGTTAATAATTTCTATACTGCCCATAAGCCCAGAACGGCTCTCTGTTTAGGACAAAAGAACATGAGCATCAACAGCAGAACAAAGTGAAAAGTGCCGTGAACAGCTTGCTGGACTTCAGCACAGAGATGGAAGATGCAACAAGGACTATATTCACACAGCAGAACAACATTTGACTGACCGCCTTTTCTTATGTCTACTTGCCCAAGTGTGAAAATCTCTGCTGGGGGCGCCTTCCCAGGTCTTAGTAAACATGCCATAGCTTTGGAACTCTCTCGTCACTTTAATGTTTCCCAGTGCCAAGGAAAGACCTTTTATGACAAGCCTTCAATAAGACCTTCTCCACCACCACCATGAGCCAATGTAGGATCTCTGCAGTCTTAGAGAAAGCTAAGTATCTCCCAGCTTTCAGCTTGGCCTAGGGAGGGCCAACTTAGCACAGAAGTCAACCCTTTCACTAAACCTCCTTCCTCAATCATTGTCACAGCACTGTAAACCCACCAATTGCCAGGAAAACAAAGCTTGTGATAGTTCTAATCAGTCTCCCCCATTCGAACTTTTCAGTTCTCATACCTCCCTGCCTTCTCCCAGTCCATCTCCCTGTCTGTCTATATTCCTCGCCTCACCTCTGCCTATCTCCTACACAATTAAAATAGCAGCCTCTCTGGCTTAGACTTGCCACTCAGCCCTGGTGCACTGCCCAGGTCAGTTCCAGGAATGCAGTCAGCATCTTCAGGTGACTCAGCATCAGAAGCAAGTCCTGCTGGACCTTGGTCCACGAAGTTTCATACCCTTCCTCCCTTCCCAGTTGATTAGATCCTTTCCCTTTTCTGCATGTATTATTTGATGTGCTTTTGTTGTTCTGCTGTTTTACTTTTGCAGTTGTGCTTTTATCAGGTTGTTTGCTGTTGTCACTATTTGAATTAGACTGTAAGCTGTCCTGAGACTCTTTTTACTGAAGGGCAGTAAATAAACAAACAACATACAGAGCTCATTTTGAATGCTCAAAGTATGTCACATTAAGTGTTTGCAACAACCGTGTAAGGTAGGCCAATACTGTTATCTCCATATTGCAGATGGGGTGAGACTGAGGTGGAAAAATAGCAAGTTTTATAGCTAAGGTGAGACTGAAACTCGATATTCCCTAGCTTCTTCACCTAGCTACATCCATTCTCAGAATCCGGTATAGACTCAAGTACTATAAAATCCCTAAAAGCAAGCCAGGATTTTCTGTAGTTCTCCTGTGGGAACCAAACCAGCTTGTGAGACTTTCCAATATCTGCTTGTAACACATCTCCTTCACTAATCCCAGTGTAATACTTAATGGCACTCTTTGCTTCCGTCCCCTTCAGATATCTTTCCAAAAGGCCTGAGTACGTGACATAAATTTAATGCAGAGTTTTGGTGTAGGAAAAGAAATTCTAGCATTGTTATTTTAAAGCAGACTGAAATTACTAAATGTAAATGTATCCATACCTTCTTTTAGTATGTCACTTGTCATTCTTTTTGTGTACAGGGAATATTAGAAAAAACATATTTTTAATGCTTTGTTCTTGGCTTTCTTTAAGTCTTCAGCTAACTTGCAGCACAGGTGAAAACTGAGAGACAGCCCAGAAGGAATGATCAAGTTCAATCTACTCTGTGCTAATGGAACCTAAAAGGTTCCATTTTGAAAATGCTGCTATTTATTTTATTCCATCTGTCAGCAGCCTTCTCAGGGAAGAGTGGAAGCAAAATCAGTCAGGGAGCCATTCTATCTTGCTATTTTCTCCTCCTTAATCAAAATCGAATGTTTGAAATCATTTTGCACATTCTAGGTTCCTTCTTTTGCTGAGATCTGAATATATTTTTCCTCTACATTTCTTGCTTCCACATATTTTCCTGGCCCTCTTGCCTTCCATCCCATTATCTACAGTGGTTTTGCCAATATACCAGCTGGTGAACCTTGTGAAAGCAAGCAAAATATAATTCTCTCTGGATGTTGAACCTCTCCTGATATACATACAATGAGGCTGAAAGTAAATCTTGGATTGGGAAATTATTATCCAAGAACATAATATCAAACAACACTTACAAGAAAATCCATATTCATTCTGTGTTCTCTGTTCAGTTGAAATAGGGTAAATGAAACCTTTAAAAGGAAAAAAAGATGGGAACAAAATCAAATTAACGAAGGGAGCTTTTTTTAAAAAAAAAGCACACATGAAGAATGGTTTAATTTAAAAAGGGGGAAAAAGGAAAATGAAAGGAAACCATAGTACTTTAAAATTCTGATACAGTACACTATTATAATCTTGCATCTCCTGTCTGCTCAGGAGCCTCACTAAGAATTAATAAGTAGGCAGATTGAATTTCAGAGCCAAAAATCGGTCTCGAGTCACTAACTTTGGAGTGCTTAAAGTCTTTCTTTTATTGAGCATAAACTCTAATGGATCTAATTTATTTCAGACATCAAGGGTCATTAGCATATGGAAAGTCTTCTTCCCCCCAATCCTTGCCATATGCTTTAATTCCCAGGACATATTCAGCAGGGCTCTAAACAGTTTTTTTATTTAATTATAGTAGCTCACTGTTGGCCTAATAGAACTGAAAGAGGATTGCGATCATTGGTCAGAGGTTAAATACCCATTTACGCAGAGCTCAGCCCATGCAAAAGCCGCATGCCCCTCCCCAGTTTTCTCCTAGATTTCCGGGGAATGGTTTTAACCTTCCCTTTAATAGAAATCCAATAGGAATTCTCTGGGGAGCAAGCAATTTGCCAGAGAGTTGGAAGTGGAATGTATTCCATTTGAGATCATTAGAAAATCAATAGGAGCCTTGAGATCATAAAGTAATTTATTTTAGATTTTGAAGGCTTTGTGTAATATTGACAAAATCATAATACAATTCACATTTTCCCCCTCCTTGAGACAAATCATATGAAAAGTGACTGTCTTCCTGAATTTCAGTGATAATGGGATGTTTTAATACTTTTTTCATCTTCTAAACATCTGTCCTGCAATTCCCACTATAAGGACATTATTTTTCTTTGCTTTGTCTCAACAGGGCCTTCCTTTCTTGGAACTAAGTTATCTTTGAGTTCAGTTGGGCTTCCTTCCTTCTAAGGATTAGGGTTCCAGTGAACCAAAGCTGACCCATTGTGTTTGAATAAATTGTTTTTGGACAGCATAACACCAAAAATGTGGTCACTCAGGGAGTTACATGAATGGAAATTGTCAGATATAAAGCAGGCCTTTCATATCATTTCCAGGCATATACCTCTCAACAACACCAACTTTAAATGAGGGAATAAAAATCAATGAAATAAGAAATACTGAATGGAAAGCAACAGGTGTTTCTGGAATTTATTAGAATTAACAATTTTTATCATTTCAGAGTTTATGGAGTGTAATGCTCCTTAGCACGCACTGGTTCCATGGTGCTTTGGAAGGTATGCAGACCCTTGGTGTGAGAATAGAAGATCCTTGAAAGGTACTGATAATAGTTGTTTGATTGCCCCATGAAGAAATGCTTTTCCATTTCAGACTTCTCTCTGGAGCTGTATTTTCAAAAAAGAATCTTGGTGGGACCTGAGAAATTCTGCTGGGTCACATGATTTTTGGACAAAATGTATGTAGATGGACTCCCGACACCTAATGAAGCTGGAATCTTGACTTAGTGTCCAAGGTAGGATGCTAAATCACAGGCTGAGTGCAAAATCCAGCTCGCCCGAGGTCCCAGTCTGGCCTTCCAGGGTTCTCCAAATGGTTAGGTCCACATCCCCCTGCCTTCTCTCCTTTTCACAACCACCAATTGCTTGGTGGTTTCCCAACTTTTATAACTTTTGTAAAAGGCTAAACTGTCTTTCCTAAGGCTGGCAGAAAGAGTGTTAAGCTGAAACATGCTGGCACTTTTGGTATTTGCTAGCAGGACCACCTTGGTTTTGACCTTCCACTGGAATGTAGCCTCCAAAAGTGTCTGAGCCATGGCATTTGGCCCTCAAGCTGAAAGATATTTTGAAGGCTCCATGCTAAGTCTGAGGATAACCCCAAGGCCTACCACTGTGAATGTGACATGTCCAATGCTTAACTTTATCATGTACTGCCTGAACAGGATGTTTAATGAAAGTTTTAACTCAGTGCATTGCTCTGTGACACAGTACCTGAAACCACTTCTTTGCCCAGGTACATAGAAGCGGTAGGCTGATCCTGTTCCCCTGAACTTGTTTTATATTTTTATTGTATTATATTTTAATGGATATCTTTGTGAGCCGCCCCGAGGCTTCGGCGAATGGGGTGGCATAGACATTTTCTAAATAAAATAAATAAATGAATAAAGCATATTTAATGGCTGTGGACTGATATGTGGGACAGCACCCCGACCCTCTTCCTGAGGCCCACAGCCCCTGCTTGCACAATGCCAAGGCCTACAAAGTCCCAGGAATGGAAAAGCCATGTTTTAAAAGATATTCATGTGCTTGCTTCAAGCGCAACATTTGGTAAGAAAAACACCATGATCAGCGCTTTTGTTCAGTGCTTGTCAATGCCCTTGCTCATTCCACACTGCCTGTTTTGGTAGACACAAGATGTGTCTGAAGCAAAGGAAGGATACTTCAGGTATGCTACCGATGCCTCAAACATCACCGCACAAGGATCGCTTCCCAGGTTGAGGATACTCAGGGATTTTGCCACCAGATCATTGGTTGGTGCCAAAGCCAATCACTGGGACTTTTCATCACTGTGGCTTCATATGCATAGGCTTCAGCACCGATATTTGCCAGCTTGAAGAGAAGGCATAATTGCTTTCCCTTCCAAAACGGCACAAGAAGTCAGGAGAGTGCATCTCTACAGCTGAAATGTATGTAGCACTGGCTTTGGAAAACTGTCTCACTCTCTGAATTTGCACAGTCATGAAACGAAGTGAAAGCAGCTTTCAGCTCAGCGTTTGGTGGAACGGATGCATGCTCGAAGGCCATCATAGTGAAATGCCTCCACGTGTATATGTTGCTCACGCCTGCTTTATGCTTCCCTCATTTCATTTATGAAGTCACTGCCATGACATTTTCGGCTTGGCTGGCCCCAAAGCTCCTCGAACTGCCATCAGCCTCCTCTCTTTTTTCAGAGCTGTAAATACAGTAGGTATTTCTGTAGCCTGGCCTAAATAGAGTACTGATTTGCTGGTGGCAAAAATAGATAAGCACATGTCTCAGGAGAAGAGCTAAGCCAATATGTTGGCATATTGGCTTTGTAACACAGCTGCTCCCATTTCGAAGTTCGCTTGGGTTTGTCTTGCTGGTTACCCTACAGGAAGGAGAAACTCTTTTAGTGGCCAAGGGCATGTGCTGACTGGGGCTTCCGGTGAATTGCAGGATCTTTCTTCTAGCAAAAGAGAAATAGGATCTCTGGAAAGAGATTTCCACGGGTATTCTGGTGTTGCTAATCTTTCATGCATTTACCCCAAGCCTAGAGATGAAAGCATCCCCAGTTCCACTGGACCTGATCCTGATCCACTTTGTAGTTCTCCACTGCTATTTGCAGCAGGGAAAGGGGGGAAGGTATCTATTCCCTGCCTTTCAGCTTGAGCCCTGAAAGCTGTACCAGTCTCTGTGGGACAGGAGTTGCCAATGGTTAATACATCTCCTTGTTGTTTATTTGACCTCATATTGATAAGACTCAATGTGGGTCTATAACACCTTTTTTCTTTCAGGTTTCTAATACACATATAATCAATAATGGTATGAAAGTTGCTTTCTCATGACTTCTTCCCCAATACTCTCATACTGTGGGAATGTAAGGACCACATAAGGGGAGGTGAAAAAGAAGCATAGTTACCAGAAGGTTAGTTCCCACACTCATGCTCCCTTGTCACAGAGTATAACATGTAGTGATGAGCATTCGTTCATTCATACATTCATTCATACATTAAAAGCATGTCTATGCTACCTATTTCGCTCATGGCATCTCTAGGCATTCATGAATAAGCTATTGGGGAGGTGCCCTTATGGGGCATAAGAAAGATTTATTATACTGTGCAACCATTAAAGTATGTGAACGGGCACCCAGAATTCCTGATCATTTGGGGGCATGCCTACTGCATCCCCATCCAGCCCTACCTTCTACTTTATCAGGAAATGGAAGGGAGAAAGGGAGAGATGCAGAACAGTGTGATGTGACAGGAAAGATGGCATGCAGGACAAGTAATCCCTGTTTGCCAACCTCTGCATTGCAACTGAACTCTCTAGTTTGTCAGCCTGGTGGCCTACAAGTTGCATGATGGAAAAGCATCAGTTTAGTGGCATCCTAGCACATTTTGGCAAGAGCAGGCAGGCACTCACAGGCTGTGGCTGCAGTTGGGTTACTGCAGATGTCACAGACCACGCACTGCCCTCATCTACTGTATGAGCATCCCTCGTGTGGCATTGCACATGGTGGACTGGAAAGTGCACATCAGTTCTGTGTCTGCATGCTTGGCAGAGAACCAACGAGCACTGAGTAATTCACCATTGAGGAGCACAAGCTGCAAGACGTCTGAAACAAGGCAGAAGGTGGGTTCCAGGCAATGGTGGGCTGACCCTGGGACACAAGCTGTTTACGGTAGAGCACAGGGTGTCCAGAGGTGTAAGGAAGTGAAGGTCAGACTTTTATGTTGTGCTTTGACCGAACACAGCTGTTCCAAGAAACGCATGCAAGGATGACACCCTTCTCCATGGTCTCTAAAGCAACACGTTGGAGAGCCTGACATCAAGCACTTTGAGCACTGTTTTGATTTACAATTCAGTATTTTAATAAGCTTTGGGAGTGGCCAGGAGAATACTTCTGCAGCAACAAACAGTTGGTAACTGGTGACGCCTTCTTCCCAAGATGTGAGCCTGGCCATGTCTTTTAGAAGGTTTGGGCTTTTTCATGCTTGCCTATCTGATCTTTTGGATAATAAGAAAGGACATTTTCTTTTGGTAATGAGGCAAATCTGCTGAGATTAGTACCTGTAATAATGAAAAATGACTTTTCTCCCAGCTTCAAAGTGAGAGCTGTGCAAAGCAGGGATTTATTCAGCTTCCTCCTTGATCTATTTTGCTCACGGTATCAGCACTGCTGCATGGCAAGTACCGGAGGGACTTCTAACTATCGCTACCACATTCCTTTACTAGGGTAA